ATCAACCGTAGTTTAATTCGTGCATTTGTTGGCTTGAGACGGCAGACGAAAAGGAACAAAAAGACTTATGCATCAACCTAATAAAAGAAAATAAAGTTAGCATAAACTTTTTGGTGTTGGAATTATTCATTTTATGGAACAGTCTTCATTTTTGGTTTGATTGTAAAAGGTATCTTAACTTAGAAATCTACCGTAATCAATTAATCAATCAATCGCCAGTTCACATTCGGTCAAATTTTGGGCACATTCACTTACTAGGGAAAGGCAACAGAAACAGAAACAGAAAACAGAAAACAGAAAACAGTTTCTGTAACAGAAAACAGAACTTCGCCGTACAGAAAGTAATCTACTTTCTGTAAGGCTTTCTGTAAAGCAAGTAATCTACTTTCTGTGACAGAATCTCCTAGAATTCCCCATTTAACCACTTACCCTCTGAGAAACCCTTTGTGTACTTTGTGCTTGTATGTAAACGTACAGCGTACGGCTACAGTTAAGCGTACAGCTACAGTAGACCAGAATTGACATTTATGAAATGAGTGTGCCTAGGCTTTTGACCCAACTAGCCTTTTTATCTTATCTACCGTGATCAAACCGCCAGTTTACATTCGGCCCAATTTTGGGCACATTCACTAGGGAAAGGCACGAACTTAAGGTAAGCTTTACACCTAGTGCACTTTGCTAGATGCTGGAAGTCGCTTCAAAAGAAAAAGATATACCAGAGGACGTATCAGGGACTGAACCCTCGTCCTGTGAGCTTTTGTCTGGACACCTAGTGCACTTTGCTAGATGCTGGAAGTCGCTTCAAAAGAAAATAAAGTTAGCATAAACTTTTTGGTGTTGGAATTATTCATTTTATGGAATAGTGTTCATTTTTGGTGTGATTGTTAGTAGGTGTACGATGGAAAAAAAGGAGTTTTGATCACTTCAATGAATACTTTTTTTCTTTTTTCTTTTTTTCAAGGATTTTTCAAATCAAAAGATAGAGCTTGAAAATTCGATCCTTATGTAGAAAGAGATGCTGAAAAAGTAGTTGTTGAAGTGGCCAAAACTCGTTTTTCCGTTGTACACCAATTCACAAAGAGAAAGACAAATGAATAGCTTTAAAATGGACAAATGAATAGCTCTAAAATGGAATTTTTTGAGAGTTTTCCTAAAGTCGGCAATTGCAGAATTGCTCAAATGTGATTTTTTAAAAAATAACTTTTATGAATTGATGAAAGCTCTTTCAGGTTTTTCAGGTTTTGATTTTGCTTTAAACTTTCTCGAAAAGTAATATTTTTGTGTTGAATAGATGAATGAGTAATGGAAAAGCTGGGGGAAAACATTTTAATTCCCTCAAATTGCTCGCCCTTTCCCCCGGTGACTAGGCAAAGTTTTTACTAAATTCTGGTTTTGTTTCCTTGAAAACTCAAATATTTTCACAATTCTATATGAGTTTATCGTTTATTTCGTTTCTCTCATTTCTTTCTTTCATTTCTTTTTATCGTGTTGCTTTTTATCGGCCCTTTTCGTGTTCTGTGTATGAATTCATGTGTATTAATCTTAAATCTAACGCACTTTATCTCAGGTCATGAATAAAGTACACTACTGGACAATGAAATATCATATTTGAAAAAGATCGTCACTTTCGCGCGTCTATAACTCCCTTGTCTTTACCGTATTTCTAAATATTAATATTACCATTGTGTAGCCCTTGAAAAGAGCTTTCAGAAAATGTATAACACTAATAGTTTAAACTCAAAGACAAGGGAGTTACAGACGCGCGAAAGTGACGATCGTTTTTCAAATATCATATTTCATTGTCCAGTAGTGTATCTATATATATGTTACGTCCGAATCCGACCAGGCGTCTGGATCTGATCCGGACGTCTGAATCTGATCCGGACGTCCGAATTCGGTCATTGATTATCTTGTGGTCGGATCGGGACGACCAAATCCGGCCATTGATTATCTTGTGGTCGGATTCGGACGTCTGAATCTGATCCGGACGTCTGAATCCGACCAGGCGTCCGAATCCGACCAGGCGTCTGGATCTGATCCGGACGTCCGAATCCGACCACAAGGTAATCAATGGCCGGATTTGGTCGTCCCGATCCAACGACAAGATATCAATGGCCGGATTTGGTTGTCCCGATCCGACCACAAGATAATCAATGACTGAATTCGGACGTCTGGATCAGATCCGGACGCCTGGTCGGATTCGGACGTAACATATATATATATTTCTTTCGTTTCTTTCTTTTCTTTCTTTTTTTCCATTTCTTTCATTTCTTCCATTTCTTTCATTTTATTCAAAAGTTGCATTCGAGTATTTGCTCGTTCCACTGAGTCACATCTTTCTTAGCATTTCTTATCAAAATTCTACAAATCAAAAAAACTTTTTTAGCTTTTTTGAGAACTTCTAGCTTTTCTTGGTTTCTTTGTATTCTAGATTTGCATATGAATTAGAATTAGATTATGAAACTTGTAAAGAAGATCTGAATACTGGACTTGATCTTGGAGTTGAACCAACTTGAACCAACCAACAGGTATCAACCTGTTGGTTGGTTCAAGTTGGTTGATCTTGGAGTTGAAGTTGGTTCAACTCCAAGATCAAGTCGACTTCAGGCTTTCTTTTCCATATAAAGTTCGCATACAACTCTATATAAGACACTCTATATAAGACATAATTTTTGTTATCCAAAGTTAGAAGAACTTCGGGTTAAATCCATAGTTTTTATGATTCCATTGAGTCAAGTTTAACTATAAAGATTTGAAAATAAAACTCACCTTATCCAGAATCAATAATAATTCAAATAACCTCAATAAATCATCATTAAAGCTCTAAGGAGAATCCATCAGAAAATGATTTTCCAGATACTTTTTGAATTTAGAACCATTTTCATTAAATTCCTAGAAAGTTTAACGTTTTTTTTTAACAAAAAGCATCAATTTATTGTAACTTTCTACATCTTAAAGCTTTTTTTGTTTTGTTTTCTTTATTTCTAAACCATTATGATGGTACATCTATAGATTATAGCATCATAATGACTCAGCTATAGCCTGTCGATCTTTTTTTTTCTAAAAGCTAATTTTCCACCGCTTTTCATCTATTTTCCAATTGTCGATTAGCCTCTTTTAGTGAAAACTTTGTCGATTTTCAAGTGAAGCTTGAGTTTACGATTTTTAAGACCTTTATTTTCGATATTGAAATCAAGACTTTATTCAAGGGATCCTGTAAGTCAACTCAACTTTAAATGTACTTTTTGAAGTACAAAGAGTACTTTAGGTGTACTCTTTGAAGTTTAAGTGTACTCTTTGTACTCTTTAAAGTACAAAGAGTGCTTTAAATGTACTTTTTGAAGTACAAGGAGTACTTTAGGTGTACTCTTTGAAGTTTAAGTGTACTCTTTGTACTCTTTGAAGTAGTCGTAAAGTACTTTTTGAAGTACAAAGAGTACTTTACGTGTACTTTTTGAAGTACAAAGAGTACTTTTGAAGTACAAAGAGTACTTTTGAAGTACAAAGAGTACTTTTGAAGTACAAAGAGTACTTAACGTGTACTTTTTGAAGTACAAAGACTTAGAAGTACTCTTTGAAGTCTTTGAAGTTTAAGTATACTTTAAGTGTACTTTTTAAAGTACTCTTTGTACTCTTTGAAGTTGAAGTGTACTCTTTGTACTCTTTAAAGTTTAAGTGTACTCTTTGTACTCTTTGAAGTACAAAGAGTACTTTAAGTGTACTCTTTGTGAAAGCGCACCCTTTCCAGCACGCCAAATTCTTCAATTCTTGGCATTAGTGTACCAGAAAGGAGAGTGTTTCCATTTCCAAAGCCCACCAAACAAACTTAGTGCTTATTATTTGCTGATTGTTATTTAAAAGTGATTCAAGGATTTCCCCTCAAGTGAACAGATGGGGCAATCCATTCAGAATGAGCCTCTTCAAAGCTTTTTTGTGTTATTGTCTGTTTGATATGTCCATTCTGCTCACAAATGCCTTCTCTTTCATCGAAAAGAGATCCTTCACCATTGTGACATTCATTCAAATTTTATCTCTAGCATCTTGATGTTTCATCGACTTTCAACTTCTAAGGAAATTTTCAATTATTCTTATTTTGAGATTTTGAACAGAACCACTAATTTTGAGCTGTAATATCATTCTTAATATGATTTCTATTCGATAGCTGTTGCTGTTGAAGCTGTTGAAGCTGTTGAAGCTGTTGAAGCTGCTGAAGCTGTTGAAGCTGTTGAAGCTGTTGAAGCTGCTGAAGCTGTTGAAGCTGTTGAAGCTGTTGAAGCTACTGAAGCTGCTGAAGTTTGCATCATTCATTCAGAATCTTTAACCAAATTTTAGATCTACTTTAGATCTATTGATCAACTTATCCATCATAATACCCTCAATAATCATAGATCAATTTAAAAGTAGATTAAATGCAAAATAAAGATTGTAACAATTTTTAAAAGTTTACACTTTTTAAACAATATATTCTAATAATAGTAAAGAAATGGATAAGAAAGAATTTGAAATGGGAATTGAAGCTTTTGCTTCAATGCGCTGGAGCTTTTGCTTACCAAGTAGATGCTCTACCATTCAGCTATCAGTTCTTTCTTTGTCAAAGAAGAAATAGGAAGAGAAAGAAGGAAGAGAAAGGGAAGAGAAAGGAAGAGAAAGGGAAGAGAAGAGAGGACTATTCGAACACTCGTTTAGTTCTGAAATGGGATAACTAGGTGACATCATTCTCGAAGTAACATCCAAATTGAGTAATTTGTCTAGGTAATCCTCTGTTATCCTTCTCTGATCATTCAATTCTTCAGATTCCCATTCATTTGGTCAAAGAGTGAAAGTGAATGGACGCGAAATGGGGCACATATTGCGCATCACATTGCTTTCCTTTCCTTCATTCCTCTCTCGCAGTGGGGTGCGGTTTTTGAGGGGTGCCTTCTGGTGGTCGACAAACAAATCTTCTCCTCCTTTTTCTCTTTTCCATTTCTTGTTCCACAATCTTTTTTTTCTAAAGACTAACCAACAACCTCACTTTTCTTTCTCATCATCTCGAGCTTTATTTTGAATTTTAGATTCATTTGTTTATTTGATTGTCCAGATCCACCAGGTCCAGGTCCAGGTCCAGGGTGTCCAGGATGTCCAGGTCCAGGATGTCCAGGTCCAGTTCCAGGGTGTCCAGGCCCAGGTCCAGGATGTTCAGGTCCAGGCCCAGGATGTCCAGGTCCAGGATGTCCAGGTCCAGGATGTCCAGGTCCAGGATGTCCAGGTCCAGGATGTCCAGGTCCAGGTCCAGGTCCAGGGTGTCCAGGTCCAGGATGTCCAGGTCCAGGTCCAGAATGTCCAGGTTCAGGTCCAGGATGTCCAGGTCCAGGTCCAGGATGTCCAGGTCCAGTTTTTGTTCCTTTTCGTACTTCCATTGAAAATAACAAATTGATGAATTAGATGAGGACAAGCCAGACAAGACTAGCTGTCAAAACTAGCAGTGATTGGTGAATTTTTAGTGTCATCAACATATGTATCTATTGATTTACTTGACCAAGAACCGACCAGCAACCGGCCCTTCCTCTGTGACTTCTCGACTAGAACAAGATCTCCTTCATGGCCTCTTTCTACCCACTTTTCTCGTCATTTTCTTTTTGTCAATATGCGAGATTTCTAGATCTAAAAATCATCATCATTTTGCACAATATTCTGACTCAGAGAACACAAATTGAAATTGATTTTTATGTAATTAAAAAGGAAAAACGGGAATTTCTTCCAGTTTTCTTGCTTTTCAAAATTCATTTAGATATTTTAGAAAATAAGAATCGATTTCCCCAGTTGGACAGCTTTGCTGTATGTCCAGCTTTGCAGTCCAGCTTTGTCCAGTCCAGCTCCAGTCGATATCTTCTCCTTAATCGATAAAGTTTCCAAGCGTTCAAGCACAATTGTCTCTTCTCTTTTGTTTCTTCTTGGCCCTTTCCCCTCTGTTTCTCTCGCAGCACGACTCCATCAATCTCGACTTGACCGTGTTTTTTTGCACAAAAGAGAACCGCTGTTCGTTCTGGTGTTTCTTTCTCTTTCTTTTCAATCAACTAGAGATGGTTTGACTAAGTCTTTTCAGCTTGCCTTTTCTGCTTGGCCATCTCTCCCATTCCTGCTATTTTTCCCACCTACACCTCCCACTCGATTTGAGATTTTTGGATAGATAGAGTTGAAATTGTTGAATTTGTTATTTGTCTTTATCTCTTCATTCTTAAGACCTACAAGATTTGCCTCAAAATTCCCAAGCTCAAAATTCTCAAGCTCAAAATCCAAAGCCAATTTTCTAAGCCAAGAACAGAGGCCAGGTCTGGCCTTGTTTCAGTGCAGGCTGCATGGTTTGATTTGGTTTTTGATCGGACTTGTATCGCTTATAGAGGATTTTAAAACCTGAATTACTCTTGAATTGCTAATAGAAAATGGTAGTGAAAGCTTAAATTCTTCCAAGGATCAGCCAGAGATCAATCCTTTTCAAATCCCATTTAAAGGCAATGATTGAAAGTTTTGAAATCCTTTGACCAAAATGATTTCAGTGGAGAGGTGAAAGAAATGGTGGGAAGTAGGGGAAAGTTCTCTCTTTGAACGCAGCGTTTTCTTTTCTCTTCCTTTTCTCTTTCTTTCTCTTCCTTTTCTCTTTCTTTCTCTTCCTTTTCTCTTTCTTTCTCTTCCTTTTCTTTTCCTTACCGTCTCCTCATCCGGTTTCCTTTCGTTTTTGAGTGGGTCTCATCAAAGACAAACAATCGTTCCCCATTTAGATTCATCGCATTCTCTTTTTCCTTTCATGTTTTTTTTTGTTTAGTCTTTCTTTGATCTCAAATAAACAAAGATAAATGCTAGTATTTATGATTTACAAATGAACACTTTTACAATCCCAAACTGATTCTGAAATTCAATATTCCAAACAAATTCGAGGAAACTTTTCTAGTATTTCTCAACCATTCTTTTTCTTCTTTTTCTTTTCTAGTATTTCTTTTCTTCTTTTTCTTTTCTTCTTTTTCTTTCCTCCTTTTTCTTTTCTTCTTTTCTTCTTTTCTTCTTTTTGCCAATGTTTGTAAAGAGATCGACTTGGCGCGGATTTTGAGAGTTTTCTTGTGAAAAATTTAAAGAGAAAATAGAAGAGAAAATATTTTACAAAAAACAAATCACTTTGGTATTTTGAAGATAAAAGTTTCTTTGAATTAAAAGATTTGAAAGAAATTCTGCAAAGAAATCATAAGTTGGCTTGTCATTTTTTTAAAGAATTCACTTCTTTTTCCGATTTATCAGCTGAAATACGGCTACTAGATTGCCGATAAGTCAATGGGGAATCGCTTTTGAGTCATTATTTCTTGAAAATCCTGAAAATCTTGGAAATTTCTTCTTAAACATCAATTTTCGATTTGATTTCATTTCTAAAAGTTGATCTTTTTCCTCTTTCAGAATGGTGGACTATTATGCGTCTCAACCGGCGCAGTTCTACCAACCAGGGTGAGTTTTTTGATTGGAAATATTGTAGTTGTATTGTAGGTATTGTAGTTGTATTGTAGGTATTGTAGTTGCATTTATTGAAAGCCAATAATGTGATACAAACAAAGATATATAATAAGACATAAAGATCTAAACAAACAATTTGATGGCACTGCGGCTGGGCAATTCTATGCCCTGGCAATTTTATGACCTTCCCCCTATTATCCTTATTACCCAAATGTTGTGAAAGAAAAAAACTCACTTGGTGGGAAAAAGAAACATTTTTATCTTGCCAGCGTGATTGAACCGTCGACCTTCCGCTTAAGAGATAAGAGCATAAGCCTAAACCTACTAACCGGTCGACCATCTGGCCCCGTATTGTAAAAACATTGTAGTTGATTAAAAGTTGATTAAAATTATGTTAAACTATTAAAATTATATTAAAATATTAAAATTATATTAAAATATTAAAATTCTAGTAGTTTAGCCGGAAAATCTTGGCCAAAAAATTTTCATTTATAATTTGTAAATGAATTTATAAATGAATGAAATAGCCGATGAATGCTTTTAAATAAATAAAAAAGACTATTTAACTATTTAACTATTGCATTTAACTTATTTCGTTCCATTCCATTCCATTTTTAAAGCAAATCCAAACGATTCTTCTTCTTTTACCCAAAAATCCTTACAATGCACATAAAATGAAATCAGCTGAATGAATTTCTCTGAAAATTCACCTATCTACCGAACTTTTTATTCTCTATCATTTATCTTTTAACATCAAAATAGGTTTCTGTGAGAAAAAGTGCTCAAATCGGGACTCTGAATTTTAATGAATAGAATATTATGTTTTATGAGTAAAGTTTTTAGGTATGACTACACACAACAAGAGGAAGAATGGGATCGAGAAGGACTTCTCGATCCGATGTGGGAGAAACAACAGAAAAAGGTTTAATGGCAAACGAAATTCTAATCGAATTGTTATCTGATTTCAATCGATTTCATTTAAGTCTAGAATTTTTTGAAGAACAAATTCCTTCCGGAGGATTATGCTAATACCCGACGCTTGTTTCCGCGTTTTCCTAAATTTCTTTTCCCCAAATTTTCTTCGTTTTTCACTAGATTATCGACGTTTCTGATTAGAAAAAGATGGTTTTTAAAGATTTAAAAAAATATCTGAACATTCTAGAATATTAATCGATTCTAGAAAAGAAAGATTTAAATAGAAAATAGATAAATAGATAAATAGAAAATCTAAGGTAAATGCTAAGAGAAAGTTCATTCTCGCAGCGCGCCAGATGATGTGCGTTTACGGAGTAAATTCCTCGAGAATACAAACCGCTACTTTGTGCTAATAGTTAAAAATGTTAACATATGCTTTCTGGCGTACTGGAGAACCAATTTTTCTTACGCTAGCAAAAGAAATGGATGTCTTAAGAAAGAGAAGGAAGGAAGGAAGGAAGAAAGAGACTTGACATTGCTGAGAAGCACCTCGATATCCCAAGAATGTCTTAATGGACCAAAAAAAGCGATTCATGCTTTTGAGCTTTTCCCTCAGAGTGTCACATAGATTTAAGCTCTTCCTTCTCTTTCTTCCTTCTTACCGTGATCCAGCTAATCTAGACTGAATACCCATTCTAGACTAAATACCGCAAACGAGCTAATCTAGACTGAATACCCTATCTAGACTGCATACTGTAATCCAGCTAATGTAGACTGAATACTCTTTCTCCCTTTCTTTCTCTTCCTTGTGTTTCCTATTTCTTCTTGTGCAACGAAGACGGGTAGCGTAGAGCATCAGCAAAAGAGCATCAGCAAAAGCAGTAAGCAGAAGGTCGAGAGTTCAATTCCTCGCCATTCAATTTTTATCAACCTAAAATCGTTAAAGAGTTGATGCTGAGAAGGCAGGAATTAATCAAATTAATCAGAAAACAAATTTATAAGATGATAAAACAAGAAAGCAATAAACCTCTTGCAGACATTCACCGCTTGGTGCAACTCACATCTTCGCAAAGCGGGAACATCGATTGAAGTGATCGAAGAGGATTTTCGCAATGGTTATTATTAAAAGAAATATTTCATAATTTATCTCTAGATTGTTTCTAGCCGGATTTCTTGTTTCTAGCACGATTTCTAAATGATTTTTAGGCTTAAAATTGATGCTCTTGCTCGAGGTGATTTCTGGTGAGCCGCTTCCACGACCAGATCGGGGAAAGATGCGTTTTCACAAAATTGCTAACGTTAATAAGGTTGGAATGATTTGAAAAGTTTGCAGTTTAGTTCATTTTAGCTTAGCTTTTCTTAAAGAAATGAAAAGAATTCAGGCAATCGAGTACATTGAGCGAAAAGGCGTGAAGCTCGTCTCGATTGGAGCTGAAGGTTTATTCTAAGTTTTTTAGAGCTTCTTTTAGGCTTTTTTATGTTTTTTTTTAGGCTTTTTATCTTGAAAACCTTTAATATTTTATAGAAATTGTTGATGGAAATGTGAAAATGACGTTGGGCTTGATTTGGACGATCATTCTCCGTTTTGCTATTCAGGACATCAATGTCGAGGGTGAGTTTTATCACTTTCAAATGTTAACTTCAATTTCTTTCAATTCAATTCAAAAGATTCAATTTCTAGACTTTATAAATGGACCAAAAAGTCTTTCAAAATACAGTAAAGCTTTTATATTTTCTTTTCCTGACAGCTGAATATCTTTAAGGAATCGAAAAATACTACAGATAGAGCTTGAGCTGGAGAGCTTGAGAGCTTGAGAGCTTGAGAGCTGGAGAGCTTGAGAGCTTGAGAGCTGGAGAGCTGGAGAGCTTGAGCTTGAGAGCTTGAGAGCTTGAGAGCTGGAGAGCTGGAGAGCTGGAGAGCTTGAGCTTGAGAGCTTGAGAGCTTGAGAGCTGGAGAGCTGGAGAGCTGGAGAGCTTGAGCTGAAGAGCTTGAGCTGGAGAGCTTGAGTCAAGAGTTTCATCAAAGCTTTACAGTAGTTTTATTTAATAAACTAGACTTTTTTTTAAGGTGAAACTTTGTAGTTCTTTTAAAATCCGATTTAGGAATGGATATTTTCCAATATTTTAGAGATGTCGGCTCGAGACGGCCTCCTTTTATGGTGTCAGCGCAAAACCGCGCCGTACAACAATGTGAATGTGCAGAATTTCCATAATAGGTTTGTAAAGTCCTTTATGCTAGACTAAACGCACGCTTTCTAGTGCACAAGTTTCTTTTCAATCAAATAGAAACATTCAAATTCCAGCTGGAAAGACGGTCTAGCTTTCTGTGCTCTCATTCATCGTCATCGACCTGATCTCCTTGATTACAGCCAATTGCACAAGGTTTGGGGATTTCTTGAGTATTAGTTTGATTGAATTCTTTGATTGAATTGCTAGATTTAAATCCTTTTCAATATCTTTTCATTAAATATTATCACTTTAGGGAGATCCAATCCACAACCTTAACCTGGCCTTCGACATTGCTGAGAAGCACCTCGATATCCCAAGAATGTTAGATGCTGAAGGTAATGAAAAGCTAGGAAATGTTGTAGAAATGTTGTAGAAAATTTCGGATTGAAAAACATTGCTAAATTCATACAAAGATTAGAAATTGATTGAATTTCAAAGTCTCTGATGGGTTTGAAACAAAAAAAGTCACTACCGGGACTCGAACCCGGCAGAACCCCCGACCTCCCGCTTAGCAGCCGAGCGCTCTACCACTGAGCTACCAAGACACCTTGTCGGCCCAGCCAGAAAATGCCTTTATCCCTTACTCATGAGCTAAACATCGACTAAAACTTAACCAATATCCGCCAAGAAAGTAGCATCTCAGATCTGGCCTTTGTTGCGCGCCCAGATGAGAAGTCGATTATGACGTACGTGAGTAAGTTGAATAAAATTTGAATAGGGGCCTATTCAAGAGTTCAGGCGCTTTTTATCACGCTTTTCGTGGTCACCCTGAGAAGGGACAAATCGAGAATCGGGCAAAAACCCCGCAACCAGCTCGTCTCATTCAACCACCACCACCGCCAGAAAGAGATTGGAGGAAAGAAGTGAGATTTGAAAGCATGAAGAGATGTCCCCAAATGTCTGTTGCTCAAAAATGTTCAAGAAAATCGTCTTGTTTATCAATCTGCAAAGCTGCTTGTTCAAAGTTTTGTTACTAATCGAGTTGTTGGATCGAATGTTTCTTGAGTGCGCTAGATGAGCTTCGTTTGAGTACAGTTGTACTCAAAGTACATATAAGTACAGTTGTACAGTTGTACTCAAAGTACATATAACATTGCTTAAACGTTTAAATCAATCAATTCATCAAAAATTCTTCATTTCATTAACCTAATTGTTTATTTAATCAATTTTCTGTTTGCTTGCAGATATGGTAAACTCACATCCCGACGAGAAAGCTGTGATGACTTACGTTTCTTGTTATTATCACTATTTCTCTGGAATGCGACAGGTAATTATGAGAAAAATTGATAAATTTAAAGGCTTTTGTCACTGGATCAATCTTAAAAAGTGCTCGAGGTAAAACTGGGGTAAAACTGGAGGAATTTGATGTCCAAATACACCCTTTCTGGTTCTAGATCATGATTCTAGATCATTTTAGTGTTACCAGAAACTAGATTTTTCTTATTATAAGCTTAAGCGTATTCCTTAAGCTTATAATAAGACTTCGAAAGACGAAGACTTCGAACCAGGAACAATCAAGCTAGGAAACACTGGATGACAATAGCAAGGGATAGAGAAATGTGGAAGCAGGTTGTGATCTGCCCCAATAGGAACACCTGAATGCGAAGACAGATCAAAAAAAAAACGCGTATTCCTTTTTATTGAAACTCTAAGTTGTTTATAAACTAAACTATCTATAAATTAAACTATTAGGTTGGCAAAAAAGAAATGAGCGTCGTGTTTGTTGATTTGTATTTTATTCACAGTAAAAGATTTTTTAAATAGTTTATTCTATTGGAAAGAGCGTGTTCTTGCGCATCGTTTGATATATAATTTGTCTATGTTTACTTTGTTTTTTTGCAAGAAAGAGTGTTTAGAAAATGTCGGACCAAAAATTTCGTTTGCGGGCCTGCCTGTGGCATGAATTTAAGCAAGGCAAATCGGCTGCTGAAGCTCATGGCGCTCTATCTCAAGTGTTTGACGAAGATGCTCTATCCGAAAGTCAGTGTAAACGATGGTTCCAGCGCTTCCGAGACGGCGGCGAAAGCTTCGAAGACCAAAAACACGGAAGTCGACCTCAAATCATCGACAACGACGCATTGAAGGAAGCCATTGAGTCGGATCCACGCCAAACCACTCGCGACCTGGCAGAACAGTTCGACTGCACTCATGTCACCATTGAGAACCATCTGCATGGCATGGGCAAGACGAATAGATGCGGAAAATGGGTACCGCATAAGCTATCCGACGCAAACAAGGCGACACGCATCGCAATCGCCGGAATTCTCACTCACCGCGCCAAGAACAGTGGGTTTTTCGACTCCATTGTTACGTCGGATGAGAAGTGGATCCAATACGACAACACAGCAAGAAAGCGGCAGTGGTTGGACCCCGGTGAAGCTCCAAAACCGGACATCCACGGAAAAAAGGTGATGCTTTGTGTTTGGTGGAACAGTAAAGGCCTGGTATACTTTGAGGTTCTGGATTCGGGTCAAACAGTTACGGCGAACCTCTACCAAGGCCAATTGGACCGCGTGGACCAGGCGCTGCGACGTCAAGGCGTGGATACGGCGTCGACAAAATTCCTCCACGACAACGCTCGGCCGCATGTCGCAAAAATCACCCAGCAGAAAATTGAAGAAATGGGCTGGGAAGTCCTGCCTCATCCGCCATACAGCCCAGACTTGGCGCCTTCCGACTACCATCTGTTCCGATCAATGCACCACTCCTTGGCCGAGAAAAAGTTCAAGAACCGTGACGAGGTCCAAATTTGGGTGTCCAACTTCTTCGAGTCGCAGCCGGTCGAGTTCTTCAAGAAGGGCATCCATTCTCTGCGTGAACGTTGGCGACAAGTCATTGATGCAGATGGCGAATACCTTTTGGATTAATGTATTGTTATCTTGTTTTTATAATAAAATAAACTTTTAACGAAAACGCGCATTTCTTTTTTGCCAACCTAATAGTTATAAACTAAACTATCTATGAACTAAGTTGTCTATAAACAAAGCTGTCTATAAACTAAATTATCCATAAACTAAATTATCTCTAAACTAAGCTATCTATAAACTAAACTATCTGTAAACTAAACTATCTGTAAACTAAACTATCTATAAACTAAACTATCTATAAACTAAGCTATCTCTAAACTAAGCTATCTATAAACTAAACTATCTATAAACAAAGCTGTCCATAAACTAAACTATCCATAAACTAAACTATCTATAAAATATTTCTCTAAAAGTTATCGTACCTTGCAAATTTAGTTAAGCCTAAGCCTGACTCTAGATATTTACTCTAGAATTTCAACTGTAGATCGATAAGAAATTAATCTTTAGTTATCGATTCTTTTCCGTAATATCCTCAAGTTATCTCTCATCGAAATCTCAGAGCGCTGATCTAGAAAAAGAATGAAAAAGATTCATAAAAGAGAGAAAATTTGGGAGAAAGGAATAAGTGAAATCTCTCTCGTTCTCCCAAATGCAAATTCCTATTCTCAAAGGAAAATGGTGAAAAGATAACCCCAAAGCTCGTGCTATTCTTGAATTTCGTGCTATTCTTGAATCTTTTCTTTTGTTTCATTAACTTTATTGTAATTTGTATTGTAAAAATGTAAAATTGTAAAAATGTAAAAATGTAAAATATAAAATATGTCAGTGTTCAATAACTGCTTGCTGCTATGTTTTACAGTAAATGATTTAGAATTTGAAACCTTTTTGCTAAAACCGTGGATACTACTGCGTACTGTACTGCGTACTGTACTGCGTACTGTACTGCGTACTGTACTGCGTACTGTACTGCGTACTGTACTGCGTACTGTACTGCGTACTGTACTGCGTACTGTACTGCGTACTGTACTGCGTACTGTACTTTTTAAAATGCATATTTCTAGGCCGAGGCGGCGGCCAATCGAATCTCCCGCGTTTTGGATTTCAATCGAGAAAACGAGAAAATGATGCAAGAATATGAGACAATGGCTAGTGATGTGAGACAATTCTGAATCGATAGATAAATAGGCTTAGGCTTAGGAATATAGAGAAATTGACTATTAGCTCTATATTTCTCTATAGCTCTATAGCTCTATCTTTCTCTTTCAATTCAGCTACTTGCGTGGATCAATCGCTGGCTTCCATGGCTTTCAAATCGCTCAACCGATGATACGCTGCCGGTTGCAAAGCAAAGACTCGAGGTTTCGTTTTTGATTGAATTCTGAATTAATGAATTACTGAATTAATGAATTAATGAATTAATGAATTACTGAATTAATGAATTACTGAATTAATGAATTACTGAATTACTCAACTACTGAATTATCGAATTCTTCAAATTCCATTTGATATCTTCTAAAAATAAAATCTTAGGACTATCGAAACTATCGTCGTCACGAGAAACCACCACGAGTCGAGCAAAAAGCCAAATTAGAAACTCTTTTCAACACTCTTCAAACTCGTCTCCGTCTCACTGGACGACCACCATTTATGCCAAAAGAAGGACATCTTGTCAAGGTTTTAAAGAAATAGAAATAGATAAAGTTTAAATAAAAATAGAGTTTTGAATAAACTTGAATCTTTGCTCGAGAAAAGTTTTGAATAAACTCTTGAAAACTCAATTTCCAGGACATCAACGCAGCATGGGGTCGACTTGAAGACTCGGAGAAGGGCTTTGAGGAATGGCTTCTTTCAGAAATCATGAGGTAAAATAGGAAATGAAGAGGCAAGGAGGGGAATTGAACCCTCGATCTTCTCGACATCTATCTGCTTTCCAGGCAGATACTCTAACCTCAGTAGAGTAGCTCAGTAGCTATTCAGTATCGGATTTTGAGAGAAGTAAGAGGGAATATAAGGGGGAAGAGAAAGCCATGCAAATCAAGAAAGCCATGCAAATCAAGAAAGCCATGCAAATCAAGAAAGCCATGCAAATCAAGAAAGCCATGCAAATCAAGAAAGCAAATGCTTCATGCAAATCTTTTCTAACTCTACCGTACTCTTGGCTTGATTCTTGACTCTTGGCTTGACTTTTTAACTCCTGTATAAACTGTAGAACTGTAGAATACGGTAACAATGTCATAAACAAATGTTTTTCAATTCCCTATTTAGACTTGAGCGTTTGGAGCATTTGGCGGAGAAATTCCGTCGCAAATGCGCTCTTCACGAGGAATGGTCGCATGGAAAAGAGGAAGCGTTGAGGAGTCATGATTGGAAATCTTCTGGACTTTATCAAATCAAGGTATTCGATTAGTTTGGGATTAAAGTTGCCTAGATTTTCAATTATAATCCTAATCCTATTGATTATTATAATCAATTCTCAGGCCTGAATTCAAATCAATTCATTATTATAATCAATTCATTATTACAATCAATTCCCAGGCTCTTCGCAAACGCCACGAGGCTTTCGAATCAGATCTCGGCGCTCATCAGGATCGCGTTGAGCAAATCGCGGCCATCGCCCGAGAATTGGCCAACCTTCGCTATCCGGGAATCGCCGAAGTGAACGCGAGATGTCAAGTGAGTGCAACGAATCAAGAGCAGCTTCGAAAGCTTCTAAAGCTTCTAAAGCTATCAAATTGTTCAGCAAATCTGCTCTCAATGGGATCGTTTGGGTCAATTGTCCGGTCAACGTCGTCAAACTTTGGAAGAAGCCGAGCGAGTCGCTGAGAGACTCGACGCACTCTATTTGGATTTTGCCAAGAGGTGGCTTCAAAAAAAATGATTCAACCTACAAGAGGAATAATCAAATTAGCATTTTACAGCTAAACATCGGCACTTTAAACTACAAAAAGTCAGCATGACAAACTGTCACATTACAAAAACGCTTCTAACTTGCTTTAAATCTGCCTGATTGAGATGATCTTTGGCTCAAAAGATAGAGAATTTTAAGAGCCTTCAAATTAACTAAAGCATATTGAAAAAGATGGTTTCTAAAGAAAGTTACACCTGACTCAATCGCTTTGACTACAAACCACTGTAACTTTCTTTAGAATTCTTATTTTTATATATGCTTTAGTTCATTTGAAAGCTCTTCAAATTCTCTATCTTTTGAGCCAAAGATCATCTCAATCAGGCAGATTTAAAGCAAGTTAGAAGCGTTTGTAGTTTACGTTTGTACTGTCTAGCTATCGACATATTATTTGGGTAAATTTCTAGAGCTGCGCCTTTTAATAATTGGATGGATGGTGCTCGGGAGGATCTCGCTGATATGGTTATCGTTCATGAGATGAGAGAAGTCAGTTATTCATCAAAAATTGATTTATATACTAATAAAATCAAGTAAAGAATGGCAAAGAAAGATTTTCGGGGATTCGATTCAACTCTCGACGTTTTTGCTTTCTAAGCAATTGCTCTAACCATTGAGCTACCTATTAGACAATGAAATATCCTATTTGAAAAACGATCGCCACTTTCGCGCGTCTGTAACTCCCTTGTCTTTACCGTATTTCTAAATATTAATATTACCATTGTGTAGCCCTTGAAAAGAGCTTTCAGAAAATGTATAACACTAATAGTTTAACTCAAAGACAAACTCAAAGACAAGGGAGTTACAGGCGCGCGAAAGTGACGATCGTTTTTCAAATATCATATTTCATTGCCCAGTAGTGTAGCTCAATGGTTAGAGCAATTGCTTGCGAAGCAAAAACGTCGGGAGTTCAATCCCATCCCCGAAAATCATTAAGCTATCGATTGAACTATCTATTGAGCTATCTATCTATCTGTTTTCTAAAAAAAGAGAAAGAGAAAGGACAAAAGGGGAAGAGAAAGAAAGAGAACTTAAATCTCCCGTTTTAGATTGAAGAGCTCGTCGCCGCGCATGATCAATTCAAGGCAACTCTGGGTGACGCCGATCGAGAGTTCTCGAGTATCGCAACGATTGAACAGGTACAGTTGCTTGTATTTAAAAGAGTTGCAACAGGTACAGTTGCTTGTATTGTATAGAGTTGTATAAATAGTATTCATTGCTGTTTTACGGTAGGACGAGCAGATCATTTAGCAATTTAGAGTACGGTAGCAAGGGCACACTTCAGAACTAATGAGCTTTAGAAGCTTTAGAAGGTCTAGAAGCTTTAGAAGCTTTAGAAGCTTTAGAAGCTTTAGAAGCTCTAGGAAGCTTTAGAAGCTCTAGAAGCTTTAGGAAGCTTTAGAAAGCTTTGAAGCTTCTCTATTACTGCAAAAGGACTTTAGATTACAGTTTATGATAAAATCTGATGGGATTTCAGTTCTAGATTCAATTTAATTTAGGAAATCGAGCACTTAGTGACATCGAATGGACTGGATCGTTCGCTTTTAAGAAATCCGTACACTGATCTGCACGCGTCCGAGATTCGTCGCAAATGGGCCGAGGTAAGCACAAATTCTTTTACAAGCAAGCAGTTTATCCAAAAATACATTTATTCGCAATAATTTAGTACAAACAATACAAAAGCAGCCCTAAATATCTAATTAAATACCCAATTGTAGGGGAAAACTAGAAAAAAGAGCAAAAAAACCAAAGCCAGTGGGATTGAACCCTTGATCTCTCGCCTAAGATACAAGGCTCTTAGCCATAGACACCATTCGTCATAGACATAGACAGCCAGTCGGCCATAGACACCATTTGTCTCCTCCCGAAATTCTAACTATTCTAGGTTCAACAAGCCGTCCCTCGACGCGATGGACAACTCCAAGCGGAACTCCGTCGACAACAGAGTGAATATTTTTCAGAAAAACTTTGCATACTTACTTGCTTGATTACTCTACTACAGTACTATTTGCTATAGTACTCGTAACGGATACTGTAGCTAGAATACTGTAGCTAGAATGCTGTAGCTAGAACACTGAAGCTAGAATGCTGTAGCTAGAACACCGAAGCTAGAATACTGTAGCTAGAATACTGTAGCTTGTTATTCAAATAAACGTCAAAAATCCCCTTTTCCAGACAACGAACGCCTCCGTGAGCTTTTCGCTCAAAAAGCGAACAACGTTGGCCCGTGGTTGGAGCGACAAATTGAACAGGTAATTCTTTAATTAATTCTAATTCTAATTTTCAAACAAAAACTTCAAATATCCATTTAATAAGCTAGATTTTATTCTGAAAGTGTTTCAGGTATTGGCGATTGGAATGGGCGGTCGAGGCTCTTTGGAGAACGCTATCTCTCAACTCAATCAACTTCATCAACAGGTAGATTTAAAGAAAAGTTCAAGCATCGCTAAATAGCTGAAGATCTATTAAAGCCATTCTAATATAGCCATTCCAATATAACCATTCCAATATAACCATTCCATTATAGCCATTCCATTGTAGCCATTCCAATATAGCCATTCCAATATAGCCATTCCAATATAACCATTCCAATATAGCCATTCCAATATAGCCATTCCATTGTAGCCATTCCAATATAGCCATTCCAATATAACCATTCCAATATAGCCATTCCATTCTAGCCAATCATTTCCAAAATTTAGTCTCTCGGCTATAAACCAAATCTCGACGAGTTGGAGCGAATCCATCAAGAAATGCAAGAGAATTTCGTCTTCGAGAACCGAAAGAGCAGGTTTCTTTGGGAAATATTCGTACTAGATATTCGATCAAATAGTATTTTATTACAATATTCAGCTAAATATTTAGATATTCAATGGAATCGCTTCGAGTCGGCTGGGAATCACTCATCACATCGATCAACAAAACCGTCAACGAGTGCGAGAATCAGGTTTTTCGGAGATTTTTCCTTTTAAAACTCTGATATTTGACTTAAAAAAAGCAATAATTTCTTCAATTTTTAATGTTTTTACCCTAAAGTCGCGAGTATAAGTTCTGTTTGGTTTTCGCATGCAAATTGACGGCTGTCGCCGGTGCGGTGTGTCGAGGATACGAACCCCGCTGCAGCATAACTTTTTTGCTTTTTAAGAACAATAATAGAAGTAAATTTGTTGAGGGTTATAGCAATTTTATGCTGTTATTTGTTATTGGAACCGTATTAGATCAAAATAGGAACCGTATTGGAACCGTATTGGAACCGTATTGGAACCGCATTGGAACCGGAAAGCGTGGCTCGGCGCGTGCTCCGCCCTGCTCCTCTCCGGTGCTCAGTCTTATGGATCCCTGGCTTCTTCATCCGTCCCTGGCCTCTTCATCCGGCCAAAGTCCACGTCGACAGTCGAAAGAGATGCTTTCCAGCGTCTTCTTCAACACTATCGTCTGGATGTATCGTCTGGATGTATCCATGCACATAACAAATAGCAATGGTGATAGGCTGTCACCCTGTAGTATCCCGCGCTCCAAGAATAATAATAAAAGTTTATATAACAATAAAAATGTATAAAAACCCAACAAAAAGAAATTCAAAGCAATTAAAGCGAATGTAAATTAAGGCAGAACTTATACTCGGCATTAAGGCAGAACTTATACTTATGCACTTATACTCGAGACTTTAGGGTAATCAAAATTTATGTGAATTCTCTAGATTTTGACTCGTGATAGCAAGGGAATCACTGAAGAGCAACTAAACGAATACAAACAATCATTCAATCATTTCGATAAGGATCGGTGAGTTATTTTATAGATTTAAGCATTGAATCATGCTATATTTTAACAAATCAAATAGAGCTTTATGTTTAAATCTAAATTTCAGTGCTGGTCTTGATCAAGAGCAACTCCGAGCTTTCTTGCTGTCGATTGGATATCCGATCAGACCGGGAAGAGAGGTTTGGCTTGGGAAATGAGAAAAGATAGTGCAATGATAGTGCTCATTGAAGCTTGCAATTGTTAGAAATTGTTAGAGAAACTGTTTATCTATCTGTATCTGTGAACTTTGTCTTTTTTTGCAATAACAAAAACTGTTCAGGGTGATGGTGAGCTTTCGCGAGTGCTCTCGATTCTCGATCCAAATCGAATGGGACGAGTGCCATTTGAGGCCATTCTCGCTTTCCTCACAAAGGTAAATCCAGAAAGAAAGTTTGATTGTAATTGATCTTCCTTTAGGAAAATCAAGATCAGGATACTGTGGATCAGATGGTCGAATCCTTCAAGATCCTTGCAGCCGGAAAGGTGATTTGCTGGCTGAAATAAGAATTCAATCGAAACTCAATTGAAATTCAATCGAATTTCAATTGCATAAATGCTAAAAATCCAGGGGAAAAACTGCTAAATTAGCTAAATTATCAATTTAGCCAAATTAATAAATGCCAAACCCGTTTAGCAAAATTGCTAGATGGTAAATGATAAATAGGCCTAGGCATTCAGGTAAAGAAAGGCTAGACTTGGCTTCTGATCTTCTAGACCTAGCTTCTGATCTCTAGACCTAGCTTCTGATCTTCTAGACCTAGCTTCTGATCTTCTAGACCTAGCTTCTGATCTTCTAGACCTAGCTTCTGATCTTCTTCTGTTTGCAGATGACTGGTGCATAAGGTTTTCGATTGAGGTACAAATTGTCATTCTTTCAGTCATTCATCACCGCCGACGAATTGAGGCGAGAGTTGCCCTCTGAGCAAGCCACTTACTGTATGCAAAGGATGGCTCCATCTAGGGATCCTCAGGTAAATCATTTTAAAGCAATATCTTATCATCATCTTGAAACATTTACAAGCTCCACCACAAGCTATAGTACGAACAATACATATTTAGTGCTTAGGACAATTCAAATTGAATTCAAAAGACAAATCCTAAGCTCTAAATGTAGAGAAGAAAAAAACTAGGAAAAAAGAAAGAAAAGGAGATGAAGGGAAAGCAGGCGGGATTGAACCCTCGATCTGGACAGAGACCCTCGGCAGTGATTCAGGGTTCTTAGCCACTAGGCTATGGCAAGCGTTTGTCGGGGATGAAAGAAAGACTTTTTTAGGCTCCACCCGGTGCTTTCGATTATGTAACCTTCTCTCGGGCACTCTACGGACAATAAAGAAAAACGAGGAAAAACGGAAAAACATAAAGATACTTCTTTACTAGACATTGCTTATTGAGAAAATAGTGTCAAATAGAAAGTACAACATGTACAACAAGTACAACAAGTACAATAAAATAGTACAGTATCATTATTTGACACTAATTCTTCGATAAGCAAACAATACTTATTATATATGTCGTAGCCGATTATGAATGAAATTTTTTGGCGAATCTTTCTAGTAGAGCAACTATTTAATGTATGAGGACAATATTATGTCATCTTGTAGCGAATTCAATTCTGCGTCGATTGGTACCAAATTTGTGAGTTTAGGTTAAAAATTGCCGGCGCTACAACGTTTCATTCAAAATCGGCGGGACCCCCGTAGCCGATTATGAATTTCAGCTGATTATGAATGAGTGGAGGGTCTAATGAGCGTCTAGGAGCGTCCAAGGAGCGTCTAGGAGCGTCCAAGGAGCGTCTAGGAGCGTCCAAGGAGCGTCTAGAAGCGTCCAAGGAGCGTCTAGGAGCGTCCAAGGAGCGTCTAGAAGCGTCCAAGGAGCGTCTAGGAGCGTCCAAGGAGCGTCTAGAAGCGTCCAAGGAGCGTCTAGGAGCGTCTAGAAGCGTCCAACCATCAAGTATTTGGTATCATTCAACGCAGAATCATTAATAATTATGTTAAATTTTTTAAATTAGAAAGATTTGATAAAAAGAAAAAAAAATAGAGCAAAAAAACTGTTTGTTCAAGAGGAAACTTTGAAGCCCCATAATTTTTTCTTTTCATCCAATCTTTCTAATTTAAAAAATTTAACATAATTATTAATGATTCTGCGTTGAATGCTACTAAATACTTGATGGTTGGACGCTCCTGGACCCACTCATTCATAATCGGCTACGACATATACTTATTATATTAAATTTTTCTTTTCCAAAAAGCTTTCGCTAAGCTGCTTAACGAGTTTTTAGTTTGAATTTCGTTTTCTAAAATCTCTAATCTCTCCAAATTCTTCAAATTCTTCAGATTCGATAAAGCTTTCTCATTTTAAATATTTTAATTTTAATATTTTTAATAATTTTAATATTTTTAATATTTTTAATAATTTTACATTTTCAGTTTGCTCAATTTTCAAAAAAAAAGAATAAAAATCGAAAGTTTTCATTTTACGAGCTAGTTTCTTTTTCTTTTTCTTTTTCTTTTTTTCTTTTTCCTTTTTTTTCTTTTCTTTTCCTTTTTTTCTTTTCCTTATTCTAGCTTAACATTGTCATAATTTGCTTATACTTTTTTTTTGATTTTGCCTTTGTTTTTTTCAAATAGAAATTGCTTTTCTAGTCTGAAAGCGAAAAAGAAAGCCAATTTTTAATAAAATTTTAATAAAATTGTAGTGTTATCCCAAGAATTTTATTAATTCGGTAATAAAGTTTGAAAGTTTTTGTTGAGACAATGGTGGCAATGGTGACAAAAAATACAGAGGAAATGGTGAAAGGAAAAGTGATCATTGCTTGATTGGAAGGGGTTCCACGCCGAATGTTGTGTCGATGTCGGCTCGAGCCTGCATTTTGTGGAATTTGGAATATGATTGAATTACGGCAATTTGGAGTAGGATTAGATTACAGTAATTTTGATTATGATTGAATTACGGTAACTTGGGTTACGATTAGATTACAGTCACTTGATATCGAACAGATGGATATGAGTGTTATATATCATTCGAAAGCTGAAGATCTCCTCTACATTTTGATATAAAAAGGTTTTGAATTTGCTCAGCTTTTGGGCAAATTGACTGCACAGAAGAAGAGGTGGCCAAAAAAAATGGAAGGGTGCCTTTGGATCAAGTTTTGGCTCTGCTCAAATTGAGTTTAAACGTTTGATGTTTGACCAATAGATATATCAATACAACTTTTTTTAAATATAACAATTTCAGAGCATCTTTACTTTTTTTTCTTTTTTGGGCGGTTATTTTACACTATAAAACTTGAGGAATCGCTAAGCTGAAATGGATTTTTTTTTTCGAAAACCACCTCTCCCTTTTTGCAGTCAATTTCCCCAAAAAGTTGAATGAATTCAAAAACTTTTTTATTCCAAAATGTAGAAGAGATCTTCAGCTTTCGAATGATATATAACACTCATCTACATCTGTTCGATATCTTGAGCAAATTTACAAAATAGTAATTCATAACTGGACAACTCAACAAGTTTGGTTCCCTATCTCTTTAAATTTGGTTCCCTATTTCCCTATTAAAACAATTCGAAAGACTACCTTCAACTTCTCCACAACACGACAAGCATTTCCAAGAGCTTTACACCCAAAGATCACCATCACAAATGAAAGAAGACACTAGAATTTCTTGTTTTATTACAAATTCCTTTAAACAAACAGATATCGCAACGACAAGACTCATCGCCAAATCGATCTCAAATGGTTCATCTTTGTTCACTAAAAAGCGGGGATCCACAGATGGAAAACCATACGGAATAATGGGAAGAAGACCTGGAAATGATAAAACATCGTATTGATCATGAATAAAACACCGTAAATACTGTAATAGTACCCCACCACCCTCGTACAGTCGTGTAGTCGCCGAAGTTTTTTCGTATTTCATTTTTTTCAAAGCACCCGTACTTTCAAAAGTGTGTCTTTGGTATCAAAAAACAGCCCTGAATTTCAGCTATTTTTTGATATTTAAACGAGCATTGTAGCATAAACCAGTGTCGAGAAACACTCGTCCAAAGCTAGACTACGAAACGCTCCGCGCCGTCATTATCGTGGTGGGGTACTATTGCAGTATTTACGGTAGTTTATAAATTGATATTGATCAGAGTAGATTTTAAATACTACTTACCAAGCACAAACGGAGCCCCGGAAAATAGACAATTCGCTGCGGCGAGCACATAGGCGAACGTGGCACCACAGTAGGAAGTGGAACGAACTGAAGAGATCCCAGCCATACCTGCAACTAGAGGTGTACTTTGTGACCAGAAACACACTCTTTCTAGTGCACTAGATCTTGTTTTATCCTACCAGAAATCAACACCGATATCGCGTAGCCCAACTCGACGCCAAGTGCCCATTTCGCGTGCTGCAACATCCGGAAAACGCCGAGCCCGAAAATCGCCAACCCGCAGAGAACCTGAACTTTGAAAATCGATGGTCCAGCTTGCTATTAATGTAATCTAATAGATTCTAATAGAAAATCTAATAGATTCTAATAGATTCTACTAGATTCTAATAGATCCTAATAGATTCTAATAGATCCTAATAGATCCTAATAGATCCTAATAGATCCTAATAGATCCTAATAGATTCTAATAGATTCTAATAGATTCTAATAGATTCTAATAGATTCTAATAGATTCTAGTAGATTTTAGTAGATTCTAATAGATCCTAATAGATTCTAATAGATTCTAATAGAAAATCTAATAGATTAAATAGTTTTTCAATTAGTATTTCGACCTGTAGTGAGCACAATAAGCTGAGCGCATTCCAGCTGACGATCTCCGAGCGACGACTCGTCATTGATGTGGACATATTTGGATTTGACTTAAAAGTGCTTTTGTACTTTGAAGTCTTCAAAAAACTAGGTTCTGTAGAAATATTTCATCTGCAAACCTGGATAGCACTGGTCACTGGGAATGGTTGACTATTCTGTGGAGATTTCTGGACAATCGCTGGAATCGGTTGCCCAAACTCTGCACCCATTTGTTGGGGTGGCATAGCGGATGGAGGACGAGAGATTATCTAGAAACAATTTAATCCAATGTGTGTTTCCATTGCCCAAGGTACTCATACAGTACTACACAGTACAGTACAGTACTATACAGTACTGTATAGTACAGTACTCAGTATACAGCACTTGATAAACTCACCTCAATCGTCGTGTTCTTATCATAGTAGTAGGGCATAGTAAAAAATCGGTAAAAAATGGAAATCGGTAAAAAAAAGGCTGATCTAGAAGAAAAGCTAGGAGAAAGAACAAGATTTTCGTCGATTTTCCCCCATAATCATCTCTTTCCATACGGCTAATGTAGCCATTTGAGTGAAAAGAAAAAAAAGAAGCAAGTCTTATGGGAATGGAAAGGATTTGGCATGCAAAGTACAGAATCTCTTTTGGATTGGAGATGCTGAAAAGTAGGACAATATTATGGTAAAATTAGGTTCAAGGTTAAGAAGTAATATATTGTATTTCGTTAATAAAGAAGTGAAGGGATTGGCAAAAAAGCGAGGGAGAGGGAATTGAGATCTGGATCTGGGTCTAAACCTGAACTTTCAAGGCAAGTGCTTTATCCACTGAGCTATCTGGTAGCTTGCTTGCTTGATTGCTTGCTTGCTTGATTGCTTGCTCCCTTGCTTGCTTGATTGCTTGATTGATTGCTTGATTGCTTGCTTGCTAAGAGAAAGAAGGAAAGACAAGGATAAGCTACATTTGTTGACTAAGAATTCATTTCATTTGTTGACTAAGAAGACTAAGTTGACTTTGTTGCAACAATGGCATTTACTACAACAGCTTTCAAAAATGGCAAGCTGGGAAGCTTCACTGTCTCGTTAGTCATTCTTGTACTGAGCTCTCATCGTGAATTCTAATTCTACAATAATTTCTCTCCATTTTAAGGCTTTTACTAAACCTAAGCTGACTATGAACCATTCTGCTTTACCATTTTCGGTTGCGGTTGTTGATGTTGCGGTTGATAGAAATGATGTGCATAGAAGGGATGATCATGCAATTGATAAGGATCGAGTGGTTGATCGGGACGGGGAAGAGTCGTGTACGAGTGATAACGAGAGCCCACTAAAAGGATTTACAATGGGTTAATTGAGAATACATTTAGAATACTTTGTGGCACAGGTACTTCACTCGTTCTCGAGCCTGTCCTTTGAAATGTTCCCATTGCGGGCATTGTTGGATGGCCTGGATGTCCCATTGCGGAAACGGAGCGAAAATGATGAGTTGGGGGTACTGAAATCTGCTAATTTGACAAACAATCAAACAAACAATCAAATCTTTATATTCTGGTTTATTTATACTACGCTATACTACAATATACTACGATTTTTGGGGAATCGTAATCATAAATAGAATCTTTGAAAAGATTCATAGTGGTGGCCAACTTTAAATAACTAGTAGAAGTTTTAAGAAACAATTACCTATGTCTAATAATGTTTGTTCTAAAGCAAGTGAGTCAGAATTTAGTACGAAAAAAGAATTCTTTGATTTAAACCTCTAGAAGCCTCAAAAAACGTTCAATCATTTGAGTTTTCATAATTCTGCAGCACCCTGTCGTTTGGTGAGTTGACACTACATGCTCCAATGAGTTATCAGTCAAAATTGCAACAAATGTTTACAGTAATCTCTCTAAACCTTTCATCAACTTACATCCATTTGGCTGTCTTCCCCAAGTTGCTCCCCGATCTCTCGTTGCTGTTGGAACTGTTGGAACTATTGGAACTCTCGGGATGGCCGATCCGGGTCGAGCTCCCACTTTTGGAGTTGACTGCGATTGGGGTTGATCTAAAAAAACGAGATTTTTAGACTTAATAAGCTAAATTATAATAAAACTTTATGAATTATGATAAGAATTAATCTTTACCTTTAGCAAAAGCTGATGGTGAGTACTGGAAAGGATCGGCTGGTTGTTTTCGATTTAGAGAGCCTTCTAAATTTAGAAAATTATCGGAAATTATCATTTTCTAGTTATAAAATCTTTCATAACATATAGAAAATCATTAAAAAATATATAATAATCATGTAAAATCATTTTAAAATCAGTTTAAAATCATTTTAAAATCACCTTTCTTTTGTTGCACTGATTTGAAAGGAGTGAAGCCGTGATTGGCGGCCGAGTTTCGACTCTGCGTATCCAACCATTCACTGCTCCCATTTCGCTCACGGTTTGGCTAGAATCCAAATGAATTCTATGAATTCTATGAATTCTATAAATTCTATGAATAGATACTATACTCTACAATCTATTGTAAATCATTTACTTACCAGAAACTGTTTGCTGACTCCATTTTCTCCCCTTTCAGCTCCATTTTGAGTATCGTCAGAGCCTTTGGCCTGCCAAAATCCCGGTCGATTGGTCATAGCTAGATATCAAATTAGAATAGTTTAACGAAAAAGATTTATTAAAGATTTGAACGGAAAATTTTGAAGAAAAAGTGAAGGTCACTTTCGATTTGAATCGTTTTTTTTTTCATGGCCACTAATTTGGGAGGATAGTGACACCCCTTGGGAGGGAAAAGAGAAAAGAAGACTCAAGGACAAAAATGACCAATTCTCACCAATGCATTTGTTTTAACTGACAATGAATTAAGAAAAGAAGAAGAATATTGATAAATCATGGCAAAAAATCCGTCAAAATTTGAAATTGAACTTATTTTAATAACTCAAATGGAGATTTCGAGGAAGTTGATCAGATTAAGTATGAGAAATCTTTGAGTCAGGATTAATTTGGGCAAAAGATAGGCAACTTTTAGCAATAAGAACACCATAAACTGGGTAAGCAAAAGAACTTATTGATACTTACAATCGAGAATCGAAAAACCATGCTTTGGATGTTATGCAGTGTTTTGGTGCAAAACCCGGACTGTCTGTGGCCAAAGACAAGCGCGCTTCTGACTGTGCGCTTCTGACTGTGCGCTTCTGACTGTGCGCTTCTGACTGTGCGCTTCTGACTGTGCGCTTCTGACTGTGCGCTTCTGACTGTGCGCTTCTGACTGTGCGCTTCTGACTGTGCGCTTCTGACTGTGCGCTTCTGACTGTGCGCTTCTGACTGTGCGCTTCTGACTGTGCGCTTCTGACTGTGCGCTCCTGACTGTGCGCTCCTGACAAGCGCTCCTGACAAGCGCTCCTGACAAGCGCTCCTGACAAGCGCTCCTGACAAGCGGCTAGAAAAACGATTATTGAAACAACCAGTCGATGAACCCGCCTAATGGCAGGTTTTTCTAGCTGAATGTTTTGACGCTTAGTCGCCGTCGGACAGTCGGAAACGCGCTTATCTACAACTCATTTGATCCGGGCTCGACCGCCCTAGTGCCACTTAATTCTAATTGAATTTTTTATTATAAATGGCACAACTACAATATATTCTAAAGTTTTCTAAAGAAGTTTTAGCTGTATTGGTCAAAACACGGTCGAGAAAATGCCTGTAGAGAGAGACAGACAAACAAACAGACAAACAAACAGACAGACAAACATACAGACAAACAGACAGACAAACAAACAGACAGGCAAACAGACAGGCAAACAGACAGGCAAACAGACAGGCAAACAAACAGACAAACAAACAGACAAACAAACAGACAAACAGACAGACAAACAGACAGACGCTGCTCTTTTATCTAGTAAATACGTTTATAATTGTTCTTGGTACTTGAACTTGCTGTTGAGACGTTAGAATTCTCATAGATAATAAAAGATTACAATTGTAGATCAAGTTATGAAAGGTTTTAAGGAAATGGCAGTTGTGAAAGTGAAAGTTAGAGGAGATTTAGATAAAGCTAGATTTAATCACAATCACTTTTTCTACGGTGAAAGTCATTCCAAAGGACAAAAAAAGTCAGAGATTAGCTTGTTGTACTACAAATTTTGGGATAGTGAAAGGAGGTTATCAACGGGGAATTTCCTCTTCTCAAAGATATCCCGGATATCACAGAATTGGGACAATCACCTCTTTTCCTTTCCTTTCCTTCCCTTTCCTTTCTTTCCTTTCTTTCCTTTCTTTCCTTTCCTTTCCTTTCCCATCTCATCCAACTTTTCCTTTTCCCTTCTCGATTCGAGATGATAAACTGGGTTGTTCTCTTTTCCATTCACCCGTTCCAAGCTTCCCTTTCAATTTCTCTTTCAATTCTTGATTGAACGCCAAATCTATTAAATTTTTCGATGGAATTTAAACGATTCCTTTCGATGAGCGGTTTAATTACTCAATCTTGAACAAAAATTTCGTACAGACGTTGACAATGAAAGCAGTTCATTGTCAACGTCAATATTTTCAAAGTCCAGAAAATATTGGGTTGGTGAATTGAAAACTGCCGGCTATTGTCATATGTGACAGTTCTCACACTTTCTTCAAAAGAAACCCATTTTGGTGTCAATGGAAAAGTTGTAGAGAATCAAAAATCAAGCTTATATCCAAATTTTCAGAACGATTCAAAAACTGGTTTTCAAGAAATGCCAAATTTACAAAACTTTCACAAAACTTGCATTTTAAGCGAAACTACTAAGTGTATCTTTTTGGAAATTTGGCTATAAGCCTCATTTTTGATTCTCTACAACTTTTCCATTGACACCAAAATGGGTTTCTTTTGAAGAAAGTGCTCAAACTGGGACACTGGGACATCTCCAGTCCTCCATTTTTGAGTCTCACACTTGTCTCACACACTTGTACTGGGAGTTGCTGGATAACAAGACGACCGTTAATGCAATCAAATACAGTGAACGGTTGGGAAAGGTGAATGAATCTCTGAAGAAGAAGAGAAGAATAGGCCCTCCAAGTCAAAGATCGTTCTCATCCACGACAACGCGCGCTCTCATGTTGCAAAACTGACTCGCTCTAAAATAAATAGCCTTGTTTGGGAACTTTTGGCGCATTCCGCATACAGTCCGGACCTTTTGATTACTATTTATTCCGGATCATGAGTAATGAGCTTGCGGGAGAACACTTCGATTTGGAAGAAGCAGTCAAAAATTGGCTTTGAAAGTTTTTCGATTCAAAACCAAAGTCCTACGACGAAAGAGGAATCCGCAAATTGCCTGTAAAATGGGCAGAAGTCGTCAATAATAATGGAAATTATTTGGAATGAATTCATGGTTTTATGTTGAATAAATTTTAGTTCAAAGTCCGGCAGTTTTCAATTCACCAACCGAATATTTCGCAAATCATTTATTGTTTTGTAGCTTGTTAGCTGAATATCTTGTGTTAAAGCCTATATTAGGCAACTGTTGTTCATTTGATGTTTATGTTGATGTTGATGCTTGTTTTTACTCCTTTCTGCTTTCCTTTCATCGTGTGAAAGTTGTGTCCTAATTAGGACGAAATTGTTTCCGTTTTTATCGTCGCTTTTAATTCAATTGTCGATTTTGTGCGAAAATTGCTCAATTTCTCACTTCTCTCGCCCAAAAATTCAAAAAGTCAGTCGGCTATTGAATAAAGTGTCCTAGTTCAAGTGAGATCTGATATAACGTGCAAGAATATAGCAAGAAATAACGTGTCTTGAGTGAAGAGCACGCAAAGTTCAATAAATTCAATGTTCAATAAATTTTAGTTCAAAGTCCGGCAATTTTGAATTCACCAACCGAATAGTTTGGAACTATCGGTTAAGCATTGGCTAAGCATTATTATGCTCTACTTTATCTACTTCTACTACTACTATCCCTTTATCCAAATCTAGCATCTACTTTATCCAAAGCTAGCATCTACTTTATCCAAAGCTAGCATCTACTTTATCCAAAGCTAGCATCTACTTTATCCAAAGCTAGCATCTACTTTATCCAAAGCTAGCAGCTACTTTATCCAAAGCTAGCATCTACTTTATCCAAAAACTAAAAACTTTCATACGTTTATTACCCACAAAAAGAAGGAAAAAAAAGAAATAGAAATCACCGACGAGATCATCGAAAGAAAGCAATGAGAGAAAAAAAGCTGAAAACTTTTAAATCATTGCGTTGAAACGGTCGAATTCGAGGTGGAATCTTGTCTAAAATCGAGAATATTAGATGTGTTTATGATTAATGATTTATTAGTGATTTACCCAGCAATATGCACAGCTCGTTTTTGCTTCAATTTCTTGAAATAATTGTAAAACGAATGCAACAAATAGAGGACCATTGGTAGGAAAAGAAGTGCGTGAATTGAGCCTGAATTTGCATAAGATTGAATTGAGAGCTCTTTTGCAACTCTAAGCCTTCACTTAGTTAGCAAATGATCGTAGCAATCGTAACCAGTTAGCAAATGTTACCGTAACCCAGGAAATGGCTACCTTAGTCGTAAAAGATTACTGTAACATATGCAATTTATGTTTATTTAGAATAGGATATTCGGTCTAGAATAGCTAGATTACGGTATTTAGTCTAGATTAGGGTATTCAGTCTAGATAGAGTATTCAGTCTAAGCTGTCTGGATTACGGTATTCAAGCTAGAATAGCATATTTTAGTCCTATCCTTTTGGTTGAGCTTTGGGCTATCGTAAACCGTAACCTGTTGGCAAATGCTACAGTAACCCAAACGTCTTTACCGTAATCGTAATGGTTTTATCAACTAATTTATGTAAATATCTTTGCTCACCAAAGACGATCACGAGAAAGACGGTTTTAAAGCATGTCTGCACGACGTAACTGTCAACGGTGGCAAGAATCGAGACACCCAATAAAACGGAGATTGAAGCCTGGAAATTGAAATGGTTTTGCAAAGAATGACAGCTGTTAATTGACTGGTTGAAAGGTTGAGTCTTTTAGAGATTGACTCTTAAGAGTGTGTTCAAGTTTTGTTTAATAAATTGTTCATAAAAACTCTTAAATTACTCAAAAAGGTTCTCATTTAATCATTCTAATCTAATCAAACAAAAACTAGGTCTCAACCGGCTTCGAACCCGCAAGCCCAGGTCTCGAAGGCTAACACACTATCCGCTAGGCCACCAGGTTATCTTGGAAGTCGAACGAAGCGATGGGTTATATGATCGAGCTCCGAAAATTTCAAACAATTTTCAAACGTGTTTTTAGAAGGGTTAAAGGGTTTATTGGGTTGATTTTAAAACTGTTTTTTACTCAGAATTTTGCGTAGAATCCGATGCACTATGTTTTGTAGCTTAATTTAATCCCAAAAATCTTCAAAACCTCACCTGACTGACCGGCCAACCAACAGCACCAAGTGCACCAGCAAGATGGCAAAAGGCAGAGCTGGAATTAGAGTTTAAAAATAGCTATTTTCTTTTTCAATAACTCTATTACTGACTTTTCCTCTCCGGGAATCTCCCTCTTTTCCGTCATATAAGCAAAAGTGACATGTGCAGCGAAATCAACCGAGAATCCCACTGACATGGCGATAGTTATCATCGAAGTACAATCCAAATTGATATTCCACCTGAAAAAGCTATATAATTGTTTAATTTTGGAAATCCTTACCAACTCATAAAGCCGAGCACTCCAAAAGCGATGCTGGCAATGTTCAGCGAGATCATCAACGCGCACAATGGCTGACGAACGAATAGAAGCGCCACGGGCACCATGACAGCTGGATTTTTGATTCAGTTACAGTATATAGAGTCAGCTCTGATATAGTAATACGGTTTAAAAAGCTTTACCAATAGATATATAAAGATCTTGCATCGTTTGTGGCCACATAATCTCGAATTGATCGGCGAGATTCCACAAAGGAGAGTAGGAGACAAGACCGTATGACGGGTATTTTGAGCAAATTTTTCTGAAGAATAACAACAATATTATTATATTATTATATATCATTTGAAAGCTGCGAATCTTCTTTCCAACATAGGCTACTAACAAGAAGAAGAAGAAGAAGCTAAGCGAGAATCGAATCGAATGTCTCGCTCTGGAAGCGGGCGCTCTACCACACGCCTGCGACCACGGCTTGACCGCAAGGAGACCGTTAAGACTCAAATAACCACATTTTCCTAGCAAAACTTTAGACGCTTATAACTCCTGACAGATTTTCATTTAGCAAGAGTGGAATATATATTTGGAATCAGCATAAAATTCGGCGTCTAATGGTATAGTTCATAGCATTTGAGCTCAGCATTTGACCTTCCCTTATAAGTTTCCGAGTTTCTCGAAAGTTAAACCTAAGTTCTAGTTAATTGACTCAATAAAATAAATAGCTCCAATCGATTCCCCGACCCTGAAAACCCGCGGATACAAATCTCCAGCTAAATATCTTTTTTTTAAAACGATTTACAAACAAAAGAGAAATCCCTGAGGTGCTCTTTATGCATTCTTTGTGCGGACGCGTAATCGCTAACCGTCTGGCACGCGTCCCCAATACATAGGTCTTTTCATTCACCTCATTTTCTGTGCACAATCAACGATGTGCTGATCGAAAGGCACTTTTCGCAAAGTCACTGAGAATCGGAAAGCTGTGATCTAAAAGTTTATTATTAAAGTTCAATGCTAGCTTGTTTTTTTTGCTGTTTGCTAGCTAGCTCATTAATTCTTCAATACTAGCTTTTCAATGCCAAAAAAAACTCCAAACCGTTTTATTCTGATCTCTCAAAATATCGTAACTATATCGATCGCTAGACATCAGGAAACTCTCCAAAGTTGGGGTGAACTCCTAGAAAGAAAGTTAAAGAGTTTAAGTTTAGACAATCACCTCCGCAGTCATATTCAAATTTATCCAATCAATCGGGAAACCGAGGCGATTATTGTAGTCGATTAGGGCAAAAAGCCAGAAATCTGAGCCCGATCTTCCCAAAGTGCAAAGGGGATCCTCGAACTCTTCAATCACTCGTTCAAAAGCTTCACGATTTTCCTGTAAAGCTCAAACTGGAAAAATAGAAAATAGAAATAGAAATAGAACAAAAACTAGGACTAGAAATAGAACTAGAAATAGAACTAGAAATAGAACTAGAAATAGAACTAGAAATAGAACTAGAAATAGAACTAGAAATAGAACTAGAAATAGAACTAAAACTAGAAATAGAACTAGAAATAGAACTAAAACTAGAAAAAGAAATAGAACTAAAAATAGAAAAAGAAATTATTTCAAATAGAAATAGAATTGATTCTCAAAGCTAAACTGTGATTTAAATTAAAATCTTGGTTCTTGAGAAAATTGAGAAGTTTGTAGAGTTAGAGTTAAAGGCTTAAGTTAGAGTTAAAGGTTTAAGTTAAAGTTAAAGGCTTAAGTTAAAGGCTTAAGTTAAAGTTAAAGGTTTAAGTTTAATGTTTAAACCTAAGCCTTTTCAAGTCTGACCTTATTTCCAAGATTTGGTGGACTCATTACAGCCACATCCAAATGAGTGACATCATCAGGGAAAAGTTCGGATCGAATCTCGAGGAAGCGACGAGCAGGAGATGATGGGGAGACGATGTTCGTCAGCTGAAATTAAAATCTTGCCGCTGAAATTACCGTCAGCTGAGATTCTTTCTCGATCTCTGAAATTCGATCCCCAGAAATGTTTTAAGCTTTAAAGCTAAAGCTTTAAAGCTTTTAAGCTCCAGTTTTAAGCACAAAGCACAACTCAAATTGGGAATGAAAGATATGAAATATGAAAGAAAAGAACTTTAAACTCACATCAAATCCCACAGTCAACTGTTTCACTCCGAAATAGGCACCAATTCCGTAAGCAATCTGTAATGACTCAAAGTTAGAATGGGGTTTTTAAAAGGTATCTATTTTGGCATCTATTTTAGAAAACTATTCTGGAAGACTTTCTTGGCAGCTTAATACTGAAGTTTTCATTCGATCAGATCAATTTTTGTTTCAATTTTTGTTTTTGACTGAGCCTTTTCCTTCTACATCAAATGTTTCCTTTTCCTTCCTTTCCAAATCGAAATTTGGCTGATAAATTGGAGGGATTACGGTAGTTTTAGGGTGACATTATGAAAACTCTTTTAGAAGATCAACTTAATGATCACCATTGCAAGAATCGTCACGAATTGAAGCCACCGTAACTGGAAGAGTCGAGCGAATTTGTCCTCAAAGAAGCGCTGATACCATAAACGGGTGTCTAATCGCTGAAATAGTTAACAAGGTTGTTAAAAAGAGATGCTATACTTTTTATCATTCACAACACAAGACTTTTCCTCTCCCTCTTTTTCCTCTACCCACCTCAAGACTGAAAGATCGATTCGTTTGTCTTTCCACACGACTTCCCATGTTGAAAAAGCGCTCGCAACAGTTGGTTTTTTCTGAATTTTCTGATTTTTCTGTTGTTTCGTATATTTTATTAAGTGTTTTACCTATCAATGCTAGATTTCTCGTTTTCTGCATCGTAATATTGTGCAGAAATTTCGATTCCAAACGTCCTTGTAAACTGAGAATCGCCACGAAAATCGTTACCGAGTAAAGGAAAATGAAAGAAATTGCGGCGGCTGAATAATAGCAGAAGTACATCACCTGAATTTTGATTTTCATTAAGCTATCAAGCATTTATCTAGCGTTTATCAAGATTTCTGTGTTTTTATTGTCAGTTTCAAATTATTCGCTCACTTACAGCTGGCAGCGGTGCAATGGCACCGATGAGAAAAGCGAGCGCGTCGGTGAGTGAAGTGATCGAGATTGAGACGGCCGCGTGTCGCATACTCTGCTCAATTCTAAAGTCTTTTCTTGTTAATATGAATTATTTCATTTGTCATTGTCAATATGAAGTTCCTTATTTCCTTCCTTAAATCTGGGTCAGCCCTGGACTAATACTGGCTCTAGATTCACAGCAATAGTCTTGTCCTGTCCTCAACAACCTGTCCTCAACACTGAGACTCCGGCTCGTCTCGTGCCAAGCGGCCAACATCAAGAATGTGTCATCGATTCCAACAGCTAAAGTTAATAAGTTTTAAATGAATAACTAATGATTTAAATGGTCCTAGTCTGTCTTCTGATCTTGCCTTGCCGACTTAAGGCGACTTAACTAGACAAAAGAGTTTTTAGTCCTAGCTTTGCCCAGTTCGGAATGATCAATCAATACAAACTCAAGCTCAAGAACGGCATCACAGTGCACATATCGACAAAAGTGATTCCCAACATTAGACAAGCGCCCATCGCCGAGAGAACAGCCATTGCTGTCACCACAACACCAACAATACCCATCACCTAAAAAGAGTTCATTGATTTCGATTTTAAAAGCTATTTGTCTTTCAGAAATCAGTCGCATTACAGTATCAAAGGGAAAAAATGACAATATACCTTTGTCTGAATAATTCCGCAGTACTGGAGTGAGGCATGGGACTGATATTCTAGCTTACAATCCCGTTAGAAGTTAGCTTTAATTGTCAACTTTGTTTTTCTTTTCATAACTCATTCCGAAACTCCAACAATTCGTCTCCAGTTTCAATGTTTACTCGTTTCACTTTGTGTTCGATAAGTCCTATTGAATTCCTTTTTTCTCTCAATTTCCATACCGGTTTGCCAAACACTTTCCTCAACAAGCAAAACGCTTTTTCTTTTCTCTCAATATCAAACTTGCAATATAGAAGACTAACTCTATATTATTATGAAAAAGTAAAAGAAAAGAAGAAGAAAAAGAAGTTTGTCAAGTGGGGGATCCGAACCCAGAGAGCGACAATCGTTTGCTATACCAGCCCACTATCCACTACACCAAGACTGCCATCCGGCCCCTTGGCATAAACTCAGGCTAAAAGGGGTCGCATAAACTCGTCTCAAGAGCCTATAGGAGAAACTTTGATGCCAGAAATTTTGCGTTTACGAGCTATTTAATAGACTTTGATTACAGATTCGGAATCCCCATTCGATTTCCTATTCAATGAGCTAGGTTTCATTTTGAAATCCCATTTAAATTTTATCATATAACATACTGGCTTTGAAAGAACCCAGTCGACCACTGGAAATGTGACTCCTTCACGATGCACCCATTTTGTATTAAACGTACATAAAACGGAGAAAATGATCAATAAAGAGAATGTCACTGAGAATCTGAAATCAATCATTTTTCTAAATCAATTCGGCTTTTGGTTCAAAGCTCAAAGCTCAAAAGCTCAAAGCTCAAAGCTCAAAAGCTCAAAGCTCAAGCTCAAAAGCTCAAGCTCAAAAGCAATCAATTCATTCACTCAATTTCTTTAAGCTTTAAGCTTGAAAGGTTTTGTTTAAGCTTTTGAGCATAAAGTACACAAAAATCAAGCCCACTTTGGTATCAATCTCGTATTCGATTCAGCCAACTCTTTGTCTAAAGTGTTTGAATGAAAATGTGACACTCGCAACAAAGAAATCGGGATTTTCTTCTGAACAATCAACTCTTCGATGATATTCTCGAATTCACTGAAATTCCTTTTCACAAAATGACCAAGTTTCCTTACGAGCTTAATTCCAAAAGCTGACTGTCGTGTTGTTTAAGTTGAAAAGAAGCATCCACGCTTTAGCGCCTTTGATATGATCGTTCTCGTCAAGGGTTACACCGCCTAAATCGATTCGATTAGGTTACTGATTCGATTCGATTAGGTTATTGGTTGGATTCGATTAGGTTACTGATTGGATTCGATTAGGTTACTGATTGGATTCGATTAGGTTATTGATTGGATTCGATTAGGTTACTGATTGGATTCGATTAGGTTACTGATTGGATTCCATTAGGTTACTGATTGGATTCCATTAGGTTACTGATTGGATTCGATTAGGTTATTGATTGGATTCGATTAGGTTACTGATTGGATTCGATTAGGTTACTGATTACTAGGCTGATTGGATTCGATTAGGTTACTGATTGGATTCCATTAGGTTACTGATTGGATTCCATTAGGTTACTGATTGGATTCCATTAGGTTACTGATTGGATTCCATTAGGTTACTGATTCGATTCGATTAGGTAACATTGCAAATAATTGGCTATTCTATGAAAAAATGATAAAGATCTCTATAAAACTATAAAGATATCTATAAAACTTTAAAGATCTCTCATTACCTTCATTGTTTGCTAATCTTTATAAAGTAATGACTGTTTTTTTGATACTTCCACATCCTGTTTGTATTAGTTAAAAAGTCGCTAAATTGAAGAGTTTATCTGAGTTGTTCTGAGTTGATTTATCTCTCGATTTTCGTAATTGTCTAATCAAATTCTATTTTATTCAAATTCATTTGCAATCTAGAATGTTTTTGGTTAAACTAGATCAAAACGGAGACAAAGTTTTCATCCAGATGTTAAGAAATGAATGGCAAAGAATTTGGAAACAAGGGGAAATTGAACCCTCGACCTGCTCACCAAAGCTCCTGCTTACCAAGCAGATGCTCGACTGAGCTATCAGCGTCTTCTTTCCCCAAGAGGAAAAGGAAGAAGAAAGAAAGGAAGAATAAAGAAAGGCAGTCCAAGAAGACAAATAGTCATTTAGAGCAGTTTTCAGAAATAGTTGCTTTGAAGAAAAATGATTTTAACCAAGCCAAGGTCAGCACCGGGATTCGAACCAGCGACCTCCTCGTATCCTCGACCTGGACCGTGCAAGCGCTCTAGCTACCAGACAAGTATCTCGTCGCCGCCAGGGAAGGGCCTTATCCCGTACCTTTTGCCTTTTACCTAAGCAGATCTTCCTAACAGTGTTGATTTCTTGATAATTTTTGAGTTGTCTGTCTTTAATCTTTATCTAAAAGAATCTTCCATCCGAACTCACCCAATGTATTCGCCAAATTCACTGGTTCACTTGAATATTTTGACATAAACAGCGGAAAGGTGACGTTGAATATTTTCTAGAGAGATTTTTTTCCATTTTCGATAAAATTCCTCACTTGATCCCCTTTCGCAAACATAGAGGCAATCATTTTTGCATGTGAATTGAGAAAACAATCGCCTTGAAAACGTAAACATATGTCACGATAGGAGAAGAATGAGCCATTCTAGAAAATCGGATGGTATGGAATTGGTAATTGAATGAAAATCTAATGAAAATCTAGCGAAAATCTAATGAAAATCTAACGAACTTTACTAGAGAAAGTCGAATTCGTGACAAAATCCATTAAAATTAACATATCAGCCGCTTCTCGTGGCCTTAAAACCGAGCCTTCATCAAGCGATTCCACCAATAAATAAATCCCTTTTCGTCGAAGAACATCTTTACCTAAAAAAACAAAAACTATGGGGGTGGGACAAGCTTTCGAAGCTCTACGGCCTTGCCTAAGGCCTTTTCCAGCAAAAAAAAAGGTGCGCAAATGTCCAGGTGCGCAAAAAAAAGGTCGCATTTGTCCCACCCCAAAACTTTTACTAAAAGTGATACTTTTCCTATTCCTATGCAAATTCTCCTTTCACAGATCATTATTTCATCATTCAATTTGCAGCATCTTTTTAAATCATCATTTTTCTATAACTTTTCTATAACTTTAACCTTACCTGGATAGAAATGCACATCATCACCAGCCCAATTCTTTTGCAAAATCGCTTCCTCATTTTTCCATGGAGCATTCAACGGTGAATACAACCAATGCACTCCGCGAACGATTTCAAAGTTTTGTAGAAAACCTGGAAATGAAAATGATTTAAATAATAAAAGAATCTTTTAGTGAAAATGCAATTCATTCATTGCAATTCATTCATTGCAATTCATTCATTGCAATTCATTCATTGCAATTCATTCATTGCAATTCAATCAGTCATTGCAATTCATTCATTCATTATCAATTCAATCAGTCATTGCAGTTCATTCATTCATTATCAATTCATTCATTCATTACCAATACATTCATTCATTCATTGTAATTCATTCATTCATTGCAATCATTCATTCATTACCAATTCATTCATTCATTGAAATTCATTCATTCATTGAAATTCATTCATTCATTATCAATTCAATCAGTCATTATCAATTCAATCAGTCATTGCAGTTCATTCATTCATTACCAATTCATTCATTCATTACCAATACATTCATTCATTCATTGTAATTCATTCATTCATTATCAATTCATTCATTCATTACCAATTCATTCATTCATTACCAATTCATTCATTCATTACCAATACATTCATTCATTCATTGTAATTCATTCATTCATTATCAATTCATTCATTCATTACCAATTCATTCATTCATTACCAATTCATTCATTCATTACCAATACATTCATCTCATGTAATTCATTCATTCATTATCAATTCATTCATTCATTACCAATTCATTCATTCATTACCAATTCATTCATTCATTATCAATTCATTCATTCATTACCAATTCATTTACCTGTAGCCAGAAATGTCGTTATGATGGTGGGCAGAATGATGAAAGGCCAGGGATGGCTGGAAATGGATTCTGTCGATTTTTCTACTCACGTTCGATATTTTTAGCCGTTCTAATCCAGATAGACTACTGCTTAGGTGATCCTAAGCAGTAGTTTCCTTAGGTTCGAATCCAGATAGATTAGGTAACTAATAATAAGACAAGATATAAAACCTAACGATTACAGCTACGGTAATCGGTACACGCTTTAGAGCAAGTACCTAATAAATAAGTGAAGGAACTGGAAAGAAAAAGATTTCTGGAGAGGGATCGAACCCTCGACCTCGGCTCGGGCAATTGCACTGACCACTGAGCTATCCAGCACCTTAACTAGCCAAGAGAAAGAAGGAAAGATAAGGAGGAAGAAGGAAGAAAGAAAGAGGAAGTTTACTTATTAGGAATTAAGCAATTTACTCACATAGCCACAAATCGACAATATCTTCCCATCGCGTTCGTCCAAATTTCCTCCAGTGGAGCGAACGAGCAACATTTCCGCTTTTTCTTCGTTTCAAGTAGCATAGGGGAATCAGAATTGGATATTCTAATAGAAAAGTGACAAAGACTAGGATGATGAGCTGATGAACCTGGAAATGGAATGGGAAAGCAATGAGAACAAGGCAATGAAAAGTAACAAGGCAACAGTTAAACAACAAACGGGATTCGATTGCCTTTGTACTTTGTGTGCTCACAAATTGTAACGCACCCTTTCTAGCGTGCTGAACTCTTGAATAAATGACTTCTTGTTCAGGGAGTTCAGAAAGAGTGAGTTTCCATTTACAAGCACAAAGTACAGGGATAGGCAAAGATTTGATGTTCTTTAAATCCTCAGAAACTTCTTAAAAGTTTGATTCAGTTTTTTTTTTGAGTAAAAACTTGATTCAAGAGCTTCCGATGAGCTTATAGAAATGGCTAAAAGCTCGACAAATTTTCAGAATGATTCAGTGAATGGCAAATCAGAAAAAGAAGAAGAAAAGACGTCAACAAAGGTCAGACTCCTCCCCAGAGCATTATAAGGATGGATTTGAAAGGGAGACAACACAGGAGGAAGAAAAAGGGGAGACAAAACAGACTCAGAAAATCCAGATTTAGATTGTAAGGAGGTGAGTCAGACTCTTTAGACATTTCTCAAAAAGAACTCCTTTTTTGTTGCCGATGGGGAGACACAAACGAGAAGAAGAATTTTAGTGTTTGCTTTAGTTGAGTTGCTTAGTTGCTTTAGTTCTGTCTTTCTCCTTCAACTACTAAATTCTGGTTATAAGTTATGGTTTTAAGCTTAGCAATGTTCAATTAAAGGAAACAGTTTTCTGTTTTTGTAAAAGATATTCAAGGAAATCACTAGAATAGCTTTTTATCACAATAGCTTTTTCTTATACATCTCAAATTAGAGTCAAAGCTTCAGAAATCAAGGGAAATTCTTTTAGAGAGAATTTTATACTGTCAATCCAACAAAACAAAAAGAAAAGACAATAAGCTCTAGACTCTACAGCTATCTCATCAGCCATTCTTGTAGATTTTCCAAATTCAATTCCTACAAATTCTGTTAGAGAGAATTTTATATTGTCAATCCAACTTTAAGCTCAAATTTCTTGGTGTTCGGCTTTTCAATTGAAATAGTTTTTATACCAATCGATAGAGAAAGACTTGGCGTAGCTAATGATGTTAATAATTTAGAAATTCGAAAGCCCAACACCAAGAAATTACAGCTGAAAGTTGGATTGCTAATGGAAAAGGAGTCTAGCTTCATTGATAGCTTCGAAAAAACAAAAAGAAAAGACAATAAGATCTAGACTCTATAGCTATCTCATCAGCCATTCCTCTAGATTTCCCAAATTCAATTCCTACACCATTCTCAACCTTGTGACTACATAAAGCCAGACAATTTGATCACTCGAAGAATAGCTCTCTTTCCCTCTATAGGTCAATGCAAATCCAGTTCCATTTCTTGATTTCTTATTCCTTTTCCTAAATGGAGAATTGTTCCCGACTGTTTTTCTTCAAAAAAAGAACATCTCAAAGCCAAATTTCCACTCAAAATCTCGTCTTTAAACTCAAAAAATGGATGGCTTTTGGAAATTGGCCTAATTTGTGGTACGGTTTAAGAGATTTGGCAGAGTTTTTGTGTTACGATTTGTGTGATTTGGCAAAACAGGTTCAAGTTTTAAATCGAATAGATAGGATTTTAGACTGAACTGTGAACTGTGAACTCCTTCTTGAGACTTGAAAAACGTCGTAAACTTAAAAAGAAACTTAAAATGTCGTAACTAAACTTTAAAATGTTTAGTACTGTTTAGTACTTTTAGTCGTATAGTTTTAAAGTTTACTATTGAGTGTACTTTGTGTTTAACAATGAAAACATCTCCCATCTGGTATGCTGGTTTCAAAAAGAAAGTACAAAGAGGTTTTTCAAATCACTCATCTTTTAGGAGACTGTTACCGGTAGGAAGCTGTTACCGGTAGGAAGCTGTTACCGGTAGGAAACTGGTACCGGTAGGAAACTGGTACCGGTAGGAAACTGGTACCGGTAGGAAACTGGTACCGGTAGGAAACTGGTACCGGTAGGAAACTGGTACCGGTAGGAAACTGGTACCGGTAGGAAACTGGTACCGGTAGGAAACTGGTACCGGTAGGAAACTGGTACCGGTAGGAAACTGGTACTGTTAATGAAATCCTTAACTATACTATTGTACTATTTCTAGTAACATGACAAAATAGTATAGAATAAAATAGAGTGGACAATAGAGAAATAAAGAAATAGAGTGGACAAAAGTGAGGACACTGTAATCTCCGAGTTCTATTGTTTGATAGTCATTCTCAGAGCTGCTCACATCTCTAATCTCCGAGCTGCTCACATCTCTAAATCTTCTAAATCCAAAAAAAACGCACTCTTAAAACCCAAATCAAACTCAAAATTTGTAAACAGATCAGCAAGAAAGGGGCAAAAAAAAGAAAAGAAACGAAATTTTCACCAAAAATACATTTGAATAGAGTTGAAAACACGGTAATCCACTTAAAAATTCTCGTTTTCACCGAAAAATTTCAAAAAAAAATTTGAATTGAATAGCACAAAGCTTGGCAAAAATGATGGAAAAGGGGATTTTCAAGGAAATCAATGGGCAAGTAAATGCTAAAGAATGGGATAAGAGATTGAGGAAGTTGTTGACAAATTGACAGAGGAGATTGAACTGTGTGTGAGAAAATGTGTAGAAATTGAACTCTTTTTTTTTTGTGCAAATCGGGAACTTTCTTGAGGAACTTGTAATTGAGCCGAGACTCGACTTTTAAAAGAAATCTTCTTCAAGGAAAAATCTGGACTTTTCTTTCTTTTCTTTTCTTTTCTTTTCTTTTCACAATTCACAAGGTCGACTAGGAGCATTTATGAGGGAAATTTTGAGGAAATGGATGGGTAAGCGGATGGATTAAAGAAAGGAAAAGAAAAGGAAATCAATTGGCAAGTAAATGCTAAAGAATGGGATAAGAGAATGAGGAAGTTGTTGAAAATGGTAGGAAAGATCTTGGAATGAGATTGGGAATCGTTTAAATAGTCATTTTGCATTGCATCAATGTCATTGCATCAATTTTCACATACAAATTGCTTTAGTTGATGTCCTGGCGTACTTTGTGCATGGAAACACATACAATCTGACGCACTGAATGCTGATCAAAGTTTACAAGCCCGTTGTGCGTTCTTTCAGTGTCCTAAAAGATTTTTTTGAAAAAAGCGGCACCTGGCACACGGTTCAGTCTGCCAGATTCGGTTTTTTTGGAGGTGAGCACAAAGAACGAAGCTTCCCCTTTTAGAATTCGAATTCAAAGGATTCGGTTGGCTGGAGAAATTCGAAATTCGAAATTTCTCGAGCCAACCGTCACTCGCTGGAATTCGGTAATTCCTTTGAAGCTTGCCAACTCCATCGCTTTCTCTTCAAGCAGATTCCCGTCAACGATTGCCGATTCCAAGATTGCCGCCAACGCATTCGTTTTGACTTCACATTTACTCCAAACAAACTCTTTGATTGATTCGTATTCGCTCGTCTTCAATCGTGCTCTTTTTGCAGCTCCTTCTTCATCGATTGCTTCCATCTCTTCCCAAGGATTTTTGAAATTATTGATCGCTTTCGAAATCCTTTGCCAATTCAGCCAGATTGTTCAAGTATTCGCTTCTTCAAAGCCAAATTGATTGATTGATTGATTGGTTGATTGATTGATTGATTGATTGATTGATTGATTGGTTGATTGGTTGGTTGATTGATTGGTTGATCGATTGATTGATTGATTGGTTGATTGATTGATTGGTTGGTTGGTTGGTTGATTGGTTGGTTGGTTGGTTGATTGATTGATTGATTGATTGATTGATTGATTAATCGATCGATTGATTGATCGATCGATTGATTGAATGATCGGTTGATCGACTCATTCACTTTTCTCGCTTCATCACCTAAACTGTAAGAATACAAGACTTAAAGAATAAAAAGAAAACTTTACATTAAGCAGACTTAAGATCAAGAAGAAGTTATAAGAAGTAAACAAGCAAGTAAAGCATTTCAAATTCAGTTAAAATTAATTTATTCATTAAAAACATCAACAAATTCATCAAAAAAAAAATCAGATATCCAATGAAAAAGAAGAAATGCATTCCACATTTTAGCGAATAGTTCGTTGTACGGAAATGAAATAGTTCGTTGTATGGAAATGAAATCTACGGTTCCAATACGGTTCCAATATGGTTCAGATGGAAATGAAATCTACGGTAACGTATTCAAAGTTTTCTTTATATCGAAGTTCGAGATGGAAAAGAAAACTTAGCATCTTTAAGGTCAAAATTGAAAGCCTAACATTTGAAATTGAAATTGAAATTGAAATTCACGATTGAAATGTTTTCTATTTGTGATCTTTAAAAGGGTCATTAATAGTCAAACGCTTTTCTTCGAAAGAATGGTGTTCCCAATGTCGGTTCAATTTTCAGATTAACCTCCAAACAAAAATGGGTCGGACCGGGACGAACAGCAGGTTTTTATGAGAGAATCAACTTGGTTTTCAGTTTTTTTCTTTCAAATCTTTCAAATCAAAGCGTTTGCAAGGAACTTTTAGAAGAAAATTTCCGAATTTACATTAGCACCATTGGTTTTGGGGCTCAAAAATGTAAACATTCCTTTTCTGGTGCACTTCTCTGGTATATTGTGCTCAAAGCCGTGTGCCAGATACCGTTTTCGTGGCACACCGAAAGAAATTTTCGTACTTGTCACTCTTACGCCTCATTTTGGATTTTATAACTCATTTTGCATACCACTATTATCATATCACTGCATTCTTATTATCATATCACTGCATCCCTACGAGGCAGACTCATTTTCTATTGATTCTTTGCGATTTAGATCATAAGGCCAAAAGGAAATTGCCCCTTTTGAACGGAATTATACTGGGCAAAGGAGGAGTCACAATGTCTCTTGTCTCTTGAGAATGGAGACTTTAGCGAAGTGTCGTGTGCCAGATAAGCCTAAGCCTAAGCCTAAGCCAAGCCAGAGCCAGCTTTTCATTCCAATGAGTTTTTTTTCTTGTTTGTCCGCTAGAATCTTTGCGTTTCCTTTTTGTGTACTTTGTGTGATCATGAGAACACACCATTGCTAGTACACTGGATTCTTTTCCTTTCCTCATGCAATAGGTGAAAAAACGCCGCTTTTCTGCTGAAAAACGAGATATACGGGCACTAGCTTCGTTCTTTGTGCTCATCTCCAAAAAAACTGAATCTGGCAGACTGAACCGTGTGCCAGGTGCCGCTTTTTTCAAGAAAATATTTCAGGACACTGAAAGAACGCACAACGAGCTTGTAAACTTTGACCAGCATTCAGTGCGTCAGATTGAAAGCGTTTCCATGCACAAAGTACGCCAAGACATCAATTAAAGCAACATCAAAGTACGCTTACATCAAAGTACAAAGTACGCTTAAAGATTAGTGCTAAATGCTGAAGCTTGGTGGCTTAAAGATTAGTGCTGAATATGTACGGTTTACTGTATATTTTCTTTACTGTATGTTCTTTTTTTCGAATCCACACTCATTCTACTAACATTTTATTCAAAAATACCCATATTTTCAATAGCCAGAATCAGTTTAAAAAAGAAAATTTCGAGGAAAAAGCTAGAAAAAAGCTAGAACAAAGCTAAAAAACGCCGAAAAATTCTCTACCAGTATCAAGATATTCAAAGTGTACACAGTAAAGGCACAATACAAAAAATAGGACAGCAATTCTTGAGCAGACTACAAGCCGTTTAAGCTATTTGAGTTATTTAAGCCATTTAAGCTATTTGAGCCATTTAAGCCATTTAAGCCATTTTGAGCCAACTTTTACGTACAACAGACAACGGGAAAATGTGGAAAAATGAGCAACTAATCAACTAAATATCTATTCCTAAACATCCTATAAATTCTGAAAAATGAATTCTGTTCTGTAAACAGAATCTTGACAATTGCCTATAAGGCAAATGACGTAAAACAAATAAAGAACTCTATTCGATAAGGCTACGGTAGCTTCGATCAGATTTTAGCTTTTCGTCTTTTTCCTGAATCTCCTTGGAACTGTTGCACGTAGCGCACTCCAAGTTCGCTCGCTTCAGACCACTGAAAGAGATTTACATTCATGGGATTTTAGATTTTTAGTTTTAAATTTAGATCTTTTAGATTAGTTTTTAGATTCTTTTTTAGATTCATTTTAGATTCATTTTTAGATTGAAACTGTTTGTGAGTTGTTTTAAAGTTACTTTTGTTTCAGGACAAGAAGCATAAAGCTAGGCTCGACCTGCCTAGCCTAGCTTTATGGCCTCCTACAAATGTCACTGGATCAGTCAGAAGTTAGAAATGGATCTGACAAAAAGATCTGACAAAGATCTGACAAAAGTAGAATCAAACCTAGGATCTGGACCTACAGATCCGGCTCCAGACTGGACTCTAGTTTGTTTGGAGTCTAGGAAGAACCTGGACCTACAGATCTTTGGCTTGGACCTACAGATCTTTGGCTTGGACCTACAGATCTTTGACTTGGACCTACAGATCTTTGGCTTGCTTCAGACCAATCCTAGAGCAAATGTTCTCGAGGCCGAACCCTGACCTTACATGTTCTAAGGCCTTGTTTCAAACATGTTACAAAGCATTACTCATGTTTGAAACATATGTTTGAAACACAAAGCATTGTTCTAACTTGTTACAAAGCATTACTTTCCTTTTAAGATATAGAAAAGTTATAGAAAGAAAAAGAAAAGAAAAGAAATATAGAAAAGTTTAGTTTTTGGTTTAAGCTTTAGATTTGCTTAATTTTTAACTTAAAAAAGGGCTTTAAAGAGTTTCAAGATCTTTAAAGAGTTTTAAAGAGCTTTAAAGAGCTTTAAAGAGCTTTAAAGACTTTTAAAGAGCCTTTTAACCTTCTTGAACGTGTTCACATGTCGGAAAAGTCGATGCTTCGAACGACACCACGATTCGCCGAGAATCACCTGAACATTTTCAACTTTATTCGGCTATTGTAATATTCTTCATATCTTTTAATCTTTTCTTCACTCACTTGCAAGCAAACAAGATCGATTTGTTCTTTCTGGAAGATCATATCCACGGCTATCGAGTAGTTCATCAAACGTGACAATGCGTTTAATTGTTTTGGCTGAAATTTGAAGATTTGGCTGAAAGAATTCACTTTTTCAATTCAAAGTTTAGTCAATTTTCACTTAATAATCTTTTTATTCTTAATAATCTTTTCATTTTCTGGAATTCAATGAGAGAAGCAATTGTTGGATTCTATTGAAAAGCTTGAGTAATCATTTCCACTAAGACATTCCATTCCTTGTTTTGTCTTGTTTTTGTCAAATTTTCAGGCGTCAGTTGGCAGTTTTTAGAGAGAAAAAAAAATGGGTTTTTGTATCATTGATGAATTGCTGATGAAGATTCTTGTGGGTTTTAAGACGAAAATAAAGCTTGTGTAAAGCTGGAAACAAAGATATTCAGCTAATAAACTGAAAAATCTTTCAATCCTTCACTCAGATTTCAGATTTCTTTATTACATTCTGTTTTTTACATTACAACTCTTTATTACAATAGCTACAGTAAACTTTAGTTTTGATTACAGTATACCAAAGTACGAAAGTATCTTTACAGTTTACTTACATTGCATTACAGTCTCTTTTTTTGTACTCTAGTTTTGAAAGACTTTTCAGTCGAGTATTCTGTAGCACAGTGTACCGTAGTTTTCGTTTCTTGACTTTTTTTTACAGGATTTGGTAGCTACAGTGTACTGTGGCTTAGGCTCGAGCTCAGTTTACTATGGCTCAGGCTCAGGCTTAGGCTCGGGCTCAGTCTACTGTGGCTCGGGCTCAGGCTTAGGCTCGGGCTCAGTTTACTGTGGCTCAGGCTCAGGCTTAGGCCCGGGCTCAGTGTACTGTGGCTATCTAGCTACAGTACAATGTAGCTAGGTAGCTACAGTGCTTTACAATTAGCCTAGTATACTGTAATGGAACAAAATATGTAGCTAGTAGTGGAAGAAAATGTAGTTCATTTGTAAAAAATGAAAACATTGCCGAAACTCACATTACTCGTGATGGTGAACTGTTTAAGGCAAGGGAAGAATGGACCGGATAATGGATGGGAATCGAATAGAGGAGCCACACAATAATTCGAGAAATGATGAGCGCAATTCTGATTGGATGACGACATTGCCGGCCGTCTTCCCATATTCAACAGCTTCAGCAACTCGGTCACTTTTTGATTGTTCAACTGAAACAGGAGACTTTTAGTTGCTAATCTCTAATAACCTTGATCTTTACTGATCTGTAGACTTGGAGAAATCAATTACAAATAGAAAAGAACCTCTTTATTTTAAAACTAAACTCTATATTCGCTTCTTCTCGGAGAAAGATTTGATTTTTCGAATCTTTTTTCTAATTTGTTTGATATTTTTTTAAATAATCAAGCTATCATATGCAAAATCTAAAGCCAAATCAATTCTCGGGACTTTTCTTGAAACCACGATTTCTGAGAAGCAAATATTCTAAAAATATTGTATTTTAAGACTCACATCTTTCAACAAAAGCTCAATAATTGGACTGTCCATATGAACAAATTCCATTGTTTGGCGGAAAAATTGAAGCAATTTGATGAGAGCGGCGATGTCCTGGAAAGGAGATTTTAAGGAGAAATGTTTTCTAAAGCTAATTTTAGAAAGCTATCTTTAGAAAACTTTTTTCAAAATGATAGACATCTTCCTGATTTCTTACCTTCCAAGACGGTTTCGCATCGACTGCAATGCCTAACGTTTGCGCGTCCATTTCGCACAAGAGGAGACAAGCGGATGGGTGCCAATTTACATCACCTAGAGAATAGAGGAATTTAGAGAACTTGAACTTGTACCATTTCTGAAACAAAGAACTTTTCAAAGTTGGCAAATTCTAAGCCGAAGTCTAAGCCTAAACCTAAGCCTAAACCGGGAGCGGGCTGAGAACCGGAAATTGGGGGTATAGCCCAAACCCAAATAGACTTAGTGCTAGGCGCTAGCCGCTAGCCTACGCACTAAGTCCAAGCCTAAGCCTAAACCTGAGCTCACCTGTCATCGATTTGCACGTGTTTGTCCTCTGTTTGTGGAGATGGTAGAGACCCTCATAGACTCTAAAAAGGAAAATGATTCGTATATAGTTCAGAGCTTTTACATAATAATAAATATGCTTCAATTTTTTCTATATTTTATTCACTTTATATGCAATCTCGTGAACTGTGCGAGACGAGCGTCAGCTTCTTTGAGGAAAGCTCTCGAAATCGTTCGCCATCGTAGGAGATCACCCTGAAAACGAAAGGAAATCTGCATAATTGCTCAAAACAATACTAAATAAATCTATGAATTGTTCAAAATGATACTACTTTACTCGAGATTAGCTCAAAATGAAGGTCATCTTTCTACTTAGCTCAAAAGCAAGCTCATCTTTCTACTTAGCTCAAAAGCAAGCTCATCTTTCTACTTAGCTCAAAAGCAAGCTCATCTTTCTACTCACCAAACTTGCATTTGCACAAAAGCGTCTAGCGATCGGTGTTTTATCCTGTTGTGATGTTCCCGCTTCACAAAAACATCGCCTCAATTCATCGTAGACGGACAATGGCAATAAAGCCATTTGATCTAGAAGATCTAGATCTGATCATTTCATTTCTAGATCATTTCAAGCTAAGAACAAGCCAAAGATCAAGTCAAAGATGAAGATTGAAAAAAATGAGAAAATGACAATGACAAATCGATAAATTCTCAGAGAGCTTTTCAGATTTGATGAGATTTCAGATGAGGTAAATTCTTTTCTCTAGAATTCTCTAGAATCAATAGTTCTATTGATACTTTCCGGTTCTCCACCCACGTTTGTGTAGGCCAGAGCTTTTGAGAAAAAAATGTAGTTAATTTAAGTTACAGAGATCTTTCGGTTATATTTTCAGAACAAAGATACTTTAAGTATATTATCGATAAAACAATAACAGTCGATAAAACAATATTATAGGTTTAAACTAGTTGGTTGTTAGGGTATTTGGGGATGTATAACCGGGACAGAAAGTCACTATTACAGCAGAATAAAGTCACTTTTCATTCATTATTACAACAGAAATAAGCTCCAAAAAAAAGGCAAAAAATCCCGCCGAGAAATCGTAAAAATTTTTATGTTTTTAGATGGGAAATTGATTGAAAAAGAGATTGAATTCAGAGAAAGCTGGAAAAGGTTGTTTCTTGTAAAAATTTCAATTTTAGAGAAACAAAAGATTAAATGAGCTCTTTGAGGTGTTGCTTGTCAATCAAAAAAAGTGTCAATCAAATCAGAATAAATTCAAATTTCCCTCTGCAGCTCTAGTTTTGTTTAATATACAGGAAAATCATATAAAATAACTTTATTATTATTTAAATTTATGAATTTCATCTTCAACTCTATTCAAAAAGGAACTAAAAACAGAGAAAACTGTTAGAAAATGTTCAATGAAATAAGATATGAAAGGTTAAATTGCATTTAAACTTGTTTCAGAAAGATGAAAGATTAATTTGCATCTAAACTTGTTTTAAGTTGGTACCCTTGAAGGTTATGGAGTACCGTATTTTCTCTAATAGTAGTGCCCCCTGAGCGTCGCCTAAGTTCCTTGAAATCTCGAGAACCGCTTATCAGAACCTATCGATGTGGGGTTGGAAAATGTGGCTGACGATGAGATCTAGTGGGGGATTTGAGGGTTGAGCTTCTGGGAAAGCTTGGGAACTGTAAAATAGTCACCAACTCGGCCGGCCGGGGTGCACTACTATTAGAGAAAATACGGTATTATTTGCCTTATTACTGGCTTGGCTTGGCTAAAGTTCCTGCTAGAACCTGGCTCACAGGTCTGATTGTAATATCTTTGGCTAGATACCGTATTTTCTCTAATACTAGTGCCCCCTGAGCGTCGTCTAACTTGCCGGAAATCTCGAGAACCACTTATCAGAACCTATCGATGTGAGGTCGGAAAATGTAGCTGACGATGAGATCTAGTGCGGGATTTAAGTGTTGAGCTTCTGTGAAGACTTTGAAAGCCGAAAAATAGACAACAACTCGGCTCCCCGGGGTGCACTACTATTATACAGTAGAGAGTAGAGAAAATACAGTAATTTATAGCTTATATAATTAACTTATATTATTTTAAAGCTTTTATTAAACTCAACAAAGCATTACTTTTACTTATTTCCTTATTTATCAATGGAAAGACTTTCATTTTCATTTCCCTTTCGTTTTCGTTTCCTTTTTTTGAATCGAAGATTAAAAGTCGACTTTTCTCAGTCAAAATAATCGAATTATAAATGAAAGATGGGAAAAATAACTAAAAATTAAATAGATTTAAGGAAGATTTTGTTTAGATCAAGTCAATAATAGAGAAATATTTAGAAAAAGAGTTTTTTGATGAGTCAAGATTCGCATAAAAGACTAATCGAAACATTGCTGGCCCTTTTTTTGACTTCTAAAGGCTTATCAGAAGAAATTTTTAGACAAATAAATGCCTTTTTGCAACTGGTCAATTGGGGAATTTGGCAAATAAGCAGAGAATTCGATTTCTTACAAAAAAAGAATTGAAAAAAAGAAAAAGAAGCAGCTAAAGAGGAATGGGGAAAGCGATAAGATGACGATTGAGCTTTTCGAAGCTTTTGCTGAATTGGTACACTACTTTTTCTGATTTGGTACACTACTGAACAATGAAATATGATATTTGAAAAACGATCGTCACTTTCGCGCGCCTGTAACTCCCTTGTCTTTACCGTATTTCTAAATATTAATATTACCATTGTGTAGCCGTTGAAAAGAGCTTTCAGAAAGTGTATAACATTAATAGTTTAAACTCAAAGACAAGGGAGTTACAGACGCGCGAAAGTGACGATCTTTTTTCAAATATCATATTTCATTGTCCAGTACTGTAAGTGCTTTAAAGCATGCTTTAGTGCTTTAACTTTGCCAAATTTTTCTTCTCTACAATAACCATTCTATTGTAGATTTAATTGTTTTAAAGTTTCCATATGTTTATGTTCCTAAAAGCTACTTTAGCTTACTTTCATCTTTATGGTTAATATTGTAATTTCTTTTAAATGTTGTAATATCTTTTAAAACATCTAATCGAGTTGAAAGAAAGGATGAAACATTGAAAAAGTTGATCAAAGTTGATCAAAGTTGATTATCCGGTAAATCCGGTTAAAGATCCGGTAAATATGAAACGATATTCAGTCTTGCTACTGTTGCAAGGAAAGAAGAAACTCTAAAAAATCGGATGTTTGCTTGAACAAGTCAAATGTTTGCTTTAAAAATTGCAAAAACGATTGACTACAATCTATAAAATGATCAATTTTCCAAATTTTTCATCTCTCCAATAACCATTTTCGTTTTTCTTTTTTTAAATTGATTGATCATCTCCACGTGGAGGGAAAAGAAGATAAAAGAAAACGGAAATTTCGTCGATTTTAGCGATTTCGTCGATTTTAGCATGAAAAAAATTGTGAGAAATCAAAAAATGATTAGTTCAAAGGTAGAAAATTGAAAAATTGAAGAGATTTCGAAGATTTTTCAATAGAAAAGTGCAGAAAAATTGTAATTCAGTTAGGATTTCTCAAGAAAAACGGCATTGTACTTTTGGACTTTTGAAAAAGTGCAGAAAATGACGAAAAGGGTATAGTGAAAGGGCACAAATTGAAAGAACGTTCAAAGTTGGCTGGAAAGTTCTGAAATGAATTAGTTTAGAATTAGTTAAGCTAAAGAAATATTTACGTTTAGTTAAGCTAAAGATAGCGAAAATCTAGATTTACCAATATCTATCAGTAGAATTTTTATTTGACCAATCAAAAGGCGGACTTTAGACGTTCTTTGTACGCTCTTTGACGTTCTTTGTACTTTAGAACTTTAGACGTTCTTTTTACTTTAGACGTTCTTTGTACTTTAGACGTTTTTGTACTTTAGAACGTTCTTTGTACGCCAGAAAGGGTGCGTTTCTGCTATTGTTTACCAATCTAGGTTGTAAGAAAATTAGGAAAAGATTAATAGAAGCAAAGGGGAAAACGAGTCATCTATCTAATAGCTAGCTAAGTGATTTTTAATGTTTTAAAGTATAACAATTGAAAAGAATGTAAGATAAAGATGTAAAATCAATTTTCCAAACCGGGAGACTAGTTTTGGAGTGTAATTTTTTTAGAAAAGATAAAGAAAAGGTAAAATAGGGACCGATGAGTGAAAGAGAAAAATCGATAATCGGTGGCAGATCTGTGAAAAGAAAAGGAAAAGGTGAGGAGGGAAAGAGGAAAAGAGACAGCGACTGTCTGCGAATGTCACAGGAAGATATGGAAAGGGAAAATGGACAATCGGTATTGTTATACAACTAGCCAAAAAGGTTTTTGAAAAAAGATTTTTAGAAATCGGATAGAGGAGTCGAACCGGAGCGGAGAACCGACGCTCGCCTTGAGAAATGGCGTGCTAACCACTTGGCCATCCGGCTTTCCTGCGAGGGCTTGAAAAAAGGCCTTTCAAAGGAAGACTTTCAAAATCGACTTGAAATTAAAAGAAATGTTTAGAATCGAAACTCTGACTTCCAAAAGATCTGTAAAAGCTAAAATCTTGTAAACCGTCCATGAAGAATTCATTTGCTGATGATGAAGAGAAAGATGGACTCTTTCAGCAAATAGACAGTCTGGGGGAAAGCTCCTCTCTTGAAAGAACTCTCAACATTTTCGAGAAGAGGAAAACCCTCAAAAAGTGCCAATGATTTCTTTCCGAAGATGTTGACAAAGTTCGGGAAGATCAACAACAATATATTCCAGTTAATGCAACTAGAATCAGAGTCTAATCGTTTAGCTCAACTATAGCTCACTAACCACAGTCTTGTTTTGCTGTCATGAACCAGGCTGGAACAGGAATTTGAATTGATACTGGAGTCAGAGTTGGAGGTTCGAGCCTCGGTTAAAACTTTCCCTTTACAAAAGAAGGAAAAGAGGAAAAGAGTTCAGCACCAGATCAGATTGAAGAAGAAAATTGAAGCTTTTCGAGTCAGCTTCCAGTTTAGCTTTAATTTTGAATCGAATCCAGTTTAGCTTAGGCTTAGGCTTAGGCTTAGAGGGGGTTTTTCTGTCACGACTAGCATAGTTGTCGTGGCGGAGTTGGGCGCAGTCGTGGCGCAGTTGGGCGCACTTCTACTATTCACAGGCCCCGGATTCGAGCCACGTTTTGCTACTCAATCTTGAGTTTTTAATTTCTAATGTTAAATGGTATAACTATGAGATTTTGAGATTTAAAAAAATAATTTCAGGGTTTTTAGCCGAAAGATGGTTGAGAAAAAGTGCGTACAGACAGACTGCTCTGTTATAAATCCGTACAGAAGAAATAAGTCCGTACAGACAGACACAGGACAGACAGTGTCTGTCCTGTGTCTCTGTTATATCACAGATAAGATATCACAGATAAGATATCACAGATAAGATAAGATACTCTGTTATATCACAGATAAGAGTAAGTTTTATTCCAAGAAAGGAATAATATGGTCGAAATGGTCACTGCAATTGTTTACCCAAACAAAGAGTTGAGCGGGTCAAGGTCTCCGTTGGAAATTTCAATGAAACCAGCACGTACTGAAAAACAGGATTACTCAA